TTGCAACATGAGGTGATGGTGTTGGATGAATGGCACAAAAATGGGTCTCAGGATCTCATCACGGTATCGCTGTGCATTCAAAATGCCATCAATAAAATGCGCCAGTGTTTGTTGTCCATAACATACGCCTGCACATACCAAAATCCCACCGTCACCATGGGCCACTCGATCCACAACGTTGACATCAGCAAACCGCTCACCCACACAACCCCATACATGCTGTCTGCCATCTGCCCTGTGCCAGACGCCATAGAATGTGAGCATTTGCCCACACAAACTGCAGTCTGGTCAAGACCCCTATGAGGACAACGAGCATGCAGATGAGCTTTCCTGAAACGGTTTCTGGCAGTTTGTGCATAAATTCTTTGGTTATGCAAACCGAATGTTGCAGCAGCTGTCCGGGTGGCTGGTCTCAGACGATCTTGGAGGTGAAGATGCTGGATGTGGAGTTCCTGGGCTGGTGTGGTTACATGTGGTCTGTGGTTGTGAGGCCATTTGGATGTACTGCCAAATTCTCTGAAACGCCTTTGGAGATGGCTTATGGCAGAGAAAAAAACATTCATGGGCAACAGCTCTGGTAGACATTCCTGCAGTCAACATGCCAATTGCACGCTTCCTCAAACCTTGTGACATCTGTGACATTGCGCTGTGTGATAAAACTGCACATTTTAGAGTGGCCTTTTATTGTGGCCAGCCTAAGGAACACCATTGTAATAATCATGCAGTCTAATCAGCATCTTGATTTGCCACAACTGTGAGGTGGATGGATTATCTCGGCAAAGGAGAAGTGCTCACTAACACAGATTAAGACAGATTTGGGAACAATAGGCCTTTTGTGTACATAGAAAAGGTCTTAGATCTTTGAGCTCAGCTCATGAAAAATGGGGGCAAAAATAAAAGTGTTGCGTTTATAATTTTGTTCAGTGCATTTTGGGAGGAGAAGATTCACTTTCTATTTCAGTTACTGTACTATGTTAAAAATCTTTGTATTTAATATCTTAACAATCTTACCTTATTTTCATCAGAGCAGTAGATCGATAAATCGCCCTTTAAATTCTTATGGAACCCCAGAGAGGCAGAGGGATAGTTTTTCCAATTAGTTTTGGAGAGGAAGCAATGTGTTATCTCAGGATATCACGTTATTTTCAAGTCAGAAAAAATATTAAAAATTCATAAATGTGTTATGTTGAGAAAAAAACTTTTTATGTTGGGGAAAAAAACAACCTTTTACTTTTCCAATTTTTATTATATATTGTTTTGAGTATTGCGTTTCTCTGTTTGTTGTAACAGCTTTAAGTGAGCCTAGCCTTTACAAGGATCAAGAAGAATTGGAGACTTCCTGCTTGGGCTTTTGAAGAGACCAGGACTAGAGCTCATGTTAGTAATGTCTGAGGAACTGCCTGCTGTTGAATAATACAGCAATTGGTAGATGTTACATGGTAAGTAATGTTGCTGGCTTGGTTATATGTAAAGCAAAAGCTCCCAGCTTACATCTTGTTTGAACATGATAGATTTGAATTTTTTTTTTTTTTTTTAAACTTATATCAGTAAATTTATTATAGCTGGTCTTTCTCTCAGAGGACAACAATCAACATACACTGTTCTGAATTAACTTTTGGCTCAGCACCATTTTCTATGATGTTATGGAGATGTGACTATTAGAATGAAGGAATATGTATCCTACATAAAGGTGCAAGAATAGAATGTACAGTCATAAAGAGTACACTCTTATTTGAATGTAAAATTTCACATAAGCAATTATTTATTGGTGACCTTTATTGATTGTTTCTTAAAGACTTTTTTTAAAACCCATTGTACAGCGCTACGGAATCTGACGGCGCTATATAAATAATAAGATAATAATAATAACTAAGTCTTCCCTCTTACAGAGTTGATGTGCCTATTTTCCTTTTCATGTTACGGTTTGTGCTTCCACATCAACTTTTTGATTCAGAAAACTTTTATCTATTTACAAACCTGATTAATCAGTGTTTAAATGTCATTTTCCAAAACCAAGGAAAACCTCATCCTTTCTTATTCTTTTATGCTTTATATTTTTTTTTTTTTTGCAGTGGAAACCGGTGAAGTGTTTAGATGGCAGAACACCAGTTTCCACTAATGGAATTTTACTTCTCTCCCTGTCTGGAAACCACACATTCCCACCTCCTGATCTGATAGACCTAAATGAGATTTCAAAACGCATGTCAAAATAAAATAATATTATTGCATTAATTTGTCCAACCCTAAGAGTGGAATAGATATGACAGTACATAAGTGAGTAGTGTATCACTGGCGCTTAAAGGTTTAAAAACATAACTTGCCATTAAAGAGTCAAAAAGGAATAGTTTCCCTTTGTGTAGCACTATTGTCCAAATTATGGTTTTCACTTTCTTTAGTATCAATAGTATAAAAAGATGCATTTACTCTCAAATTTTTAACTGTAATTATGTATCCCTCAGTGTGCAGGAAACTGCATGGTTTAAAAAGTTGCACTATTCCAGCTCTGATACAATATATTTTTCTAAAATAAATTATACTGGAGGATACAGGACAAGACAAAAATGGAACTGTACCTGGAAACCTGGATAGTCTGGTAGCACTTTTTAACATACACACAAACAGTGCTAGGTTTAGTGGACATATTTTCAACAAGCATACAGTGCTAGTGTTGTTTATCCACGTTAGGTTCTATAGCATTGTGTTTTATTGCTTTCTGTCTGTTTTGTGTTTGCTTTTTGAGAGTTTTAAAGCATCATTAATAAAGGAGCACTATAGTGCCAGGAAAACAAACAAACCCCTTCAGACACTAACCTTTCTCTAGCGCCGGGTCCATCTGTGCTGGGGAACTCCCCACCCCCTGCCGATGTCAGATCCGAATGTGCATGCGCGGCAAGAGCACGTGCATTCAAACAGCCTATATGAAAGCATTACTTAATGCTTTCCTATGGACGTCTAGTGTCTTCTCACTGTGATTTTCACAGTGAGAATCACGGAAGCGCCTCTAGCGGCTGTCACTGAGACAGCCACTAGAGGCTGGATTGACCCTCAGTGAAACATAGCAGTTTCTCTGAAACTGCTGTTTTCAGCTGCAGGGTTAAAACTAGAGGGACCTGGCACCCAGACCACTTCATTGAGCTTAAGTGGTCTGGGTGCCTATAGTGGTCCTTTAATAAGACATGTGGGGTGCTGATTTAACAGACCAGCTGTATTCTAAGATCTGAGCCATTCCCTAAAAAACTCTGTTATTGGGCTCTTTTTTCTGGAATCTGGTGCAGAGCAGCAGCGATCCCTTAAAAGCATTACCCACTAGGTACTCTGAAGGTGGAGGCAGGGTATAGGTGAATTTATAATGCCACAGGTGCTTTATTAGGAATGGGATGACCACTCATAAAATCCAAAATGTCAATGCAGAAAAGCATAGTCAAAGGCAGTCTGGAGGTCAGGGCAGGCAGGAGTAGATGAAGTCAGGAAGAAAGCCACATACTGGTAACCCGGAGGATACTCAGTGAGCACTTTTAGACACAAGGATATACTGGCAAACTGAGACAAGGCATTAAACAACTGAGCACTTACTGGAGGGAATGTGGATAATTTATAGTGCTCTCATGGGACTCATTGCCCCTTTAAGATGCATTATTGTCCTAGCTCTGCATCAAGCTCCACTTGAGAACATGGTGTGGCCACCGTCTGTTCCCCGTCAGTGAATGGACCTGTGGATGCTGCACAATGTGGAGAATTGCAGCCAACAGTTACAGATAACCACATTGCTAGTCATTTTCAAGTACATCTCAACCTACCATGGCTATATCTTGTCATTAATACTAAACCAAGCAACATGATTTGGAAACAAAGATCCACCATAGTCCAAATAGATAGTTCTTATCCAGAGAGAGACATAAGTAGCTTTATGGTCAGGAGCTTATTAAGATGCTTGTCAAACAGAGACATTATAGAAATATAGAAAAATATAGGTCAACGTACAGCAGCCTCCTCAGAGCATGTACCTAGGAAAAAAGTAAAAAGGGAAATGGATCCTCGATCTTAGCAACGGATAGTGAAATAAATGATCTGATTATAAAACTCTTCAGATTATTATTATTTTATTATTTATATAGCGCCATCACATTCCGTAGCGCTGTACAGATACATCAGTAAATACAATACATTCATCTTTCACATTTGATCAGTTTTGAATTCAGGTGCTTCTTTTTAACTGCACGATAATTTTTCATAGGGAAAGCCTTTAGATTAATGATTTTGTGTGCTATTAAATATACATTTTGTATAAATATTTTTCAGTGATGTAACATATAATTGTTATGATTCTATTGATTAACTAAAACTCCATAATCTGTTTGTATCTTAATAAATGCTTTTACTCCATACTTCATTTAAAAAAAAAATTAATTTACCAGCCTATTTGTGTTTGAAATATAATCAAAGCATTCTCAACTCCTGGCAACTGTCCTAGCATCTGTTCATAGATTCTGACAGCATATTTCATCTCCAAAGCATTTGCAAATTGCTTCCAAAGAAAGAGATTGTTTTTACTGCTCTAAGGGTTCTACATCAGTTACTTTGTTGCCTAGTCAGTTTATTAAAGTCTTTCACATGCATTTGTATTGTCTGTCGCATTTTACTGTAACCTCTTTGCAAGCTGCTGTACACTACATACTTGGGTTATACGCAATATTCAGTCACCTTGCCGTGAAGTCCTTTGGATCACAGCAGCACTATGAGCCTCTTCTGAAAGGATCTTAGTATATACACACACATAGCATCACATACAATAAATAGAATTAAAAGCTGCATTTATTGAAAAACAAAAATTAAAAATATGTGTACACATAGCAGAAGCAGTGGACAACACAGCTGATTAATGCTGAAAGACAATTGAGTTTACTGTCTAGAATCAATGGTAACATGGGCACGACTTTCCCAGGCATAATTTTGAGAGCAAAGATAGAGAGACAGAGGGAGAGCAGATTGATTGGATATCCCCTGGCCCTGTTTGAGTAAAAAATAAATTCTACCTTTGATACTGTTAAAAACTCTGTTTTTTCAAACCTTCAAACCCTCCACAACCTCTGTGGCACTGTACCCTTGTGGTTTTAATCGGGTTTTATCTGCTTCTCTTGATAATCTGGTTAGCTCCTTTGGATTTCATTACCTTCTACATTATGACAATACTCAGCTTTTACTCTCCCTCCTTTCTCCTGCTCTCCTGGAATGTATCACAAACTGCATCTCTTCCATCTCTAACTGGATGTTTTCCAAATTAGAAATGGACACCTATTAGCACAACCCCTCAAGCATTCTGCCTTGGTGTTACATTCAACTTCTCACATCCAGTTGGCCAGCAAATCCAGTAACTTCCACCTAAAATATATTACCCCCACTCACCCTTTTCTAACTAACAAGATACAACTAAGTTATTTATTCATGCACTCATCATTTCCAATATGACTATTGTAAGTCACTACTCGCCGGCCTACCAAATACCTGCATTGTCTCTCTTCAGTCCGAAAGGAATGCTGCAGCCAGGCTCATCTTCCTGACTGGCCACTACTACAACACCTCACACCTTTGCCAATCATTACATTGGCTTCCTGTACCCTTCAGGATCCAATTCACACTGCTAACAGTAACCTAAAACACCCTCACTAACTCCACTCCTCACTACATTTCCTCTTCATCAAATGCTCTGCCAATGACCTTCTCCTTACATCTGCTCATTCCTGTACTTCCAACTCTCATGTGCAGGATTTTTCATAAGCTGCACATTTCCTTTGGAATTCACTACCCCATACCATCAGACTCTCCCCTTGCCTCTAGTGGTAAAGAAGTCACTGAAAGAATTCACCAAAATTGGTCTCTTGAGAGAGCTTACCTGACAGAGCTTAGTGACACGTCACTCATTTCACTGCCCTCATCAGTTCACTCCATCCAATGCACTCTCTCTCCATTCAAAGTCTTCTGCTTGTTCAATACAACACTTTTACTAGCTTAGTTCAATACAGGCATCGTATCCCTCAATCTCTACCCACTCTGACAAACTGGTTTTTTTTTCTTATGTCTTTACCCACTCCTCATATATTGTAATCTCTTTGATCAGGGCCTTTATAATTGTAAAGCACTACAGAATATTTTGGTGTAATGTAAATGCTAATAATAATAATAATAATAAATTGCTCCACAGAGCTCGGTGACCCAACAATATTTGATGAGTAAGAGGCATGTTACTTAAACAGATAATGGACTTTTAATGGAATTTTTAGTTTGTTCTACTGATTTCAATTTGAGCTGGCTACTCTTTGTCTCGTACTTATGATGACTTGGTCAGCTGTTAATGCCAGTTGCATGGGTACTGGATAGTTTTTGGAAATACTATTTGTATCCCTCAAAGTTTCCTTACTTAATGATACATTATGAAACTTACCATAAACACTTGAGATTATAGTAAAGTAAAAGTAGCAAGGTACCTGAAGTTTCAATGTTGATACATGAGAGTTAATAATGAATGAAGGTTGGAAATACACAACTTGCATATTCTGACAACTCAAAAAAATAAATAAATAACAGATGCTACATGTTCCTTCAAACTCTGCCATGTTTATTGTTCATACATACAATCTATACAGTATAGTACTACCATATTGCTCCATGGAATCATTTCTAGAAATAGGAGTAAAACAGAACAGAACAATGCAACCAGCTGTTTTTATTTAGTCTCAAAAAGGAGAAATCCAGAAAAGGTGCAATATCTCTGATGGTCTCCATGTAAAGCTCCAGTTCCCATTCGAAGCCAGACTTCATCTTGCTTGGCCAGTTTTAATACTGCGCTGTTACCTGCAGTATCTTGCTTCCCTTTGGCTTGATAGCTTAAAAAGTAATGCACACGTCAATGTAACATACAACAGAATTTATGCATCATCCATGTATAAACCTGAATAGCACAAACAATACAACCTATTTAGTATTTGTGAATAGTAGTTAAAAATCCAAAAACTGAAAAGCTTTGGGTGCTGTCATACTTATATACTGAACTTTTATTGTGGTAAGAACACTTAAAAAATAATTATGACATTGGAGATAAGAGTATTTTTTAATTGCATAACGTCGCTATTACTCCTGTTAGACTCGGATTGGTCCTATAAAATAATTTATGTCATATTTTTATTAATAAAAACAATAGTGACATCACAATTATTTACACAACTCTTTGATACAATGGAATTGTGTCAGTCCCTATCTAGCACATGGACAAAGATTTACCTATATAATTTTTCCGTTAACTTTAATAGGGAGACTAATCTATGGAAGAAAAGGGAAATTGGTAATTGGTAAGCATGAAAGGTGTTCCTTCACCTTGGACCCTACATGTATAGAACCTTTTAGAATTGTACAAAAATTCTCATAAGTGATAGTTTTTATTTACACCTTTCATGACAGGTGATATGCCAAGAGTGTCACAATATCATGGGATTTGCCTAATCCATTAGAGGTTGTAAAATCAAACTAAACTAAGTTCAACTATGCACTGATCAGTTACAACATTAAAACCACCTGCCTAATATTGAGTAGGTCCCCCTTGTGCTGCCAAAACAGCTCTGATGTGTCGAGGCATAGACTTTAGAAGACCTCAGAATGTGTCCTGCGGGATCAGCCACCAAGACATTAGCAACAGATCCTTTAAGTCCTTTACATCCTGCATATGCTCAATCAGATTGAGACCTGGGGAACTTGGACGCCAATGCGGCACATTGTACTTTTTATCAATTAAAGTCACTTTTGGCAGTGGACTGGACATAGGTACTCTGACTGGACTGCGATTACACATCCCTATGTGCAGCTAACTGTGATGCATTGTGTGTTCTGATACCTTTCTGTCATGGTCAATATTACGTTTTTCATACTACAATAGTTATTTTTTGTGATCGAGCCAGATGGGCTAGCTGTCCCTCTTCATGTGCATCAATGAGCCTTGGGCACCAATGGTTCATGTGTTGTCCTTCCTTGCCCCACTTTTGGTATGTACTTACCACTGCATACTTGAACACCCATCAAAGCATGCCATTTTTGAGATTATCTGACCTAAACACTATACTCATCACTATTTTGTAGACATGTGATATTCGTTTCATTCCGGATGCAATTTTGACAAATTTCAGAAATACGATGCTTCCGAATGTCTGAAGTGCCGAATTGACAAATTTCCAAAGTGCCAAATTTTGGAATGCCGAACCGAACCGAAATGCTTCAGATTTCTGAAAAGTGGCAAAACAGAAGATGGTAGGGTTAGTGGTTGGGTAGCGGTAGGGTTAGGGTAACCCTAACCCTACCTCTACCCTAACCATACTCCTAAAACCTACCATAACCCCTACTCCTAACCCGACGTTCTGAAGTCCCGAATTTCGGAATGCCGAACCGAGCCAAATATTTTTCCCATGCACATCCCTACTATTTTGCTCTTGTCAAAGTCACTCAGAACTTTTCACTTGCTGTTTTTCCAGCTTCCAACCCAAAAACTTCAAGAAGTGACTGTTCACAGCCTAGTATGTCCCCCCCCCCAATGACAGATGCCATTACATTGATATAATCAGTGTTGATCATTTCACCAGTCAGTGGTTTTATGTTGTGGCTGATCAGTGTATAATATGGTTGTCCTGAAGTAACATTTCTTAAATGTTAAAATGAAAAGTTGACCCACAAAATATTTGCTACAAATTCCTAGAATTGCTGCTCTTTTTTTTACTGTATAATTTCCAACTGTGTAATTTTCTTATATATGCACACATAATTAACTTATGTCTTTTTAATATATATATATATATATATATATATATATTATTCTATTATTTTTTTCTGCTTTAATGTTTTTTGAGCTTCTCAAGACTCCACTCATTTTTCAATCAATAATTTTGCCATATTTCTGCCTCTCTGCACACACAAACAATTCCCATCACACAATCTAATAATGCATGTTACTCCCTGGAGCAAAGCAATGGTCTGCTCTCACTAGAACAGTATCAGTCAATATCCATGCCTCAGTGACCACTTGAGATACTTGAGTTATGATTATTTATGTTGAATGTATTTTTTTTCACAGTAAACATTGATTTTTAGAAACAAGGATTTTGAAAATGGATAACTTTCTGAATTATGTTAACAGATGCAATTAATATTTATCCAACCACAAAAATGATCAGTGTACAGGTCACAGTTTTACTATTGTGCAATAATTTATATAAAGATAAATATTATACATCATTGGCATGTAGACATGAGAAAGTCTGTTTAGTGATTTCAAAACTGACAGGATATTTAGATTTAAATTGGAGTCCTGGGCTAAGATTGTTTCTAAAAAAAAAAAAAGTGTCCTCAAAAATATAAAGTGAGGGAGACTCTGCATGCATGCAAACTGTAAGAAATTTATTTAATTGAAGGTACTATATTTTAGAAGTTTCAATTGTGTTGTACAGAACCATGGTAAGACCCATCCAAAGTGAAGTACTTTGGTACAGTCATGGACTAAGCATTATGTTGTCATCTAAGATAGCTGTTATGTATTCCACAATTGCATTAATTAAAATATAGGGCTCTTAATGTCTTTCTTTATTATCTTAAAACAAGATTCTGAGTTTTTAAAATGCACACACTTCACTCACTAAATGTGTAACGAGTCACATATCTCCCAGCACATTCCTATTGTCAAAGCAAGACAGGAAGGACTAAAAGATAACATTACCACTTATAGAATAACGACTGGGAGTTGGGACCACCAAGATTTTGGACTGTGGCAAATGTATGAATTAAGGCTTCAAATTAAATATTCTTATCAAATGCTTTAATTTTTTTTTTTTGGATAAACTTTTAAAATGATTTAACACCATTTTAAAAAAAATGTAGTTAGTAACATTTTGATATATTGATATGTTGCATTTTTCTATTTCAAACGTTTACCAAAATTATTAAATGATTTGAAAAGCTTATTCAACAAAATTAAACCTAAGCCCAAGTATGATATGGCCACATGTAACTAGATCTGAGTTGTGCAGTTTTTTTCCAGTCTTTTAAGGTCCACATATTTTATATTACAGATGTGTAATGAATATTCTGATCTCTATGCATTGCGAATAACATTTTGTTTATTTCAACAACAGGTTCAAGTTTAGCATAATTATATAACCATATACAAATTACGTTTCTCACCAAAGTCGTCCCCTCTCTGGCTCTCATGGAGAGTCTTAACTGAGAGTGAGAAAAGTTAAGTGCCCGTGAGTGTGCAGCAAGTAGAGTGTGTAGACAGGATAGAGGGGCACAGGCCTACAAAGGGGAGGTTGGGAGCAATATTTAGATAGGGATGGAGGTTAGAATAACAGGGGCGTTATGACTTTGAAGAATACACAAAGGAAGGGACGGAGCAGAGAGTGTCACAAGCAAGCCACTCCGATGATGGTAGATTCAAGTAAGTTAGACTTACCCTTGAAGAGAATGTGGCACTGGTAAGCACAAAGAGTCTACTCAATGGATGAGCCTATTTGGCATTGTATCTGACTCTAAAAGTTATTTCCAAACTTCTTTTTTTTTTTTTAAGAAAGTACTTGGAAACTATTCTTCTTTGTCACCACAGAAATACAAAAAAATAAATATATATAAGTATTAAAATAACCTAGGAAAAAAAAGTATATTTAAAACCTACCTGTACATGCTGACTATGCTATTTCCATTATGCATTAGGTACACATATACATCGTCAACTTCTTCATGCTTGAGCATGTGAAATGTAAAAAAATACACACCTGTAACAAGGAACAAAAATAACAGGCATAAAAACATGAATTATTTCAAAAGTTATTTAACCCCTTAATAATTGGATTAATATTAGTAGCACTTTGCAGGTATATGATCATAATGTTTTCATGATGATGATTTTGAATTAAAGGTGTCATTTATTTCGCTTGATCAAAAAATTTGCATGCAGAAAAAAAAAGCCATCTTTAATTAACAGGGCAGAGTACATCTTCGGTTATTGTTTTTTTTCCTGAATCTGTTCCGTGCCAATAGTCTTTTTTTTTTTTAAGAAGATGAAGAAGCAATCTTTTTTTAATTAATGTACATTACGCTATTATTTAATGAGTACTTGGCGCACAAAAAAAGCCCCAGAGACCATTTGAAGCTGTTCATTCATGGCCACCAACACTAGTTTAAATCACTCTAAATTATATTGTGCACTCAATTAAGGAATAAATAAAATAATTGTGGATTCAAGGACTATATATGTGATAAGTATTAATTGGTCACTTTTCTCCCATGCAATTTAAAACCAAGAAGCAGATATGAAATATATACTTTTTTTTTTATACTGCAAACCTACTTTTATGTTAAAAGTACTTCAACCAGTCCCCCACCCAAAAAACTGTAGGAATCAGTTCATCAATACAAGGAATGTTTAATTCAAAGTTATTATCAAGGTGGCCCAAAGCCTTATTTTTGTCCCATATTCTCCTGCACCCATGACAGCTTCTCCCAAGCTGTGGGAATTAAGATATGTATCCATTGTAACAAACAATCTCTTTTACAGGTAGGATTTTGTCACAGATCTTACAGTAACCACAGCCTTCTAGGGTATACAAAGTCCAGGACACATTCAGTTCGGTTTTCCTTTTTTATTTGATAGAAAAAAACAGCTGCTTTAAATAATAATAAACAAAACAAAATCCCTTGCTCTTACTTGAGCTCTTACTAGACAGAAATCACTATCTGTAATTGGTTGGCTTTCCCACTTACCAATTTTCCCAAAAAAATCGAAATAGATTTGCAATAAACACAAGTGTTGTTCTCTCTCCTTCAGCTCTCCTAGCTGGTGTTGTTTGTTTGTTTGTTTGTTTGTTGTTGTTGTTGTTTGTTTGTTGTGTTTTTTTTGTGTTTTTTTTTCTCCCTCCCTATGCAGCAGGCTGATCTCTTCTTTTAAAGGCCTGTCTGCTAATTGACCAGCTACAGGTGAGTGCCAATTAGTTAACTCTTAAGTTAAATCCAAATTCTGGTCTGTTACACAGCAACTAGTGCTGTTGGAGCATTGGCCCACCCTGCTCTCCAAATACTCCGCCCCAGGGACCCGTACCGTGTTTTGCAGAGCATCAGCACACTTTAACATCTCTTCCTGGGGCATTTAACTGAAAATTCTCTGGCTGCTGTTTAGCAAATCAGGCCTGATATATCTTCCATCAACCACTATTCCACTTTTTCACTCACACCATGTTCAGACTTATTTAGGCACAGAAACTTGCATCAAGTTATGGGTACTTGTGATAATCAATAAAATTCGATTGTAACTTGGTTTTCTAGTTATACCCCTGCTCTGCTTTTAAAAGAACAGTCCAAGCATCATATTCATAACAGTGTGCTGTAGTGGTTATGGTGCAAGCCCCCATTGTAAGTGGCAGTGTACAGTGTGCTATGGAATGTGGAGTGTTCTTTTAACTTGTGTCTTATGGTGCTTCCTTGACCGTCTAGCTTGTTCCATTGATATTGCACATTTGGTTATCATTATATAGCTTGTCCCTTACAGTAATTGCATTAAACTAAGCAATTATTAGTACTGCTAACATACTTTGCCTCTCTGTCTTGTTGTCTGACTAGGTTCTGAGTGTTGAGGTTTGACTCTAAATTGTTAAGATTTGTAAGATGGATATTAACAGTCAAAAAACTAAAACATTAAAAAAACCTTAGCGAAATCTGGCAAACTTGTATGTAATCAGTAAGGATATTCAGCACTTAGTTAATACTGGTACTGTTCTGTTCGGCAGCTTAACAACCAAACTCAGTGTCTTTTTTGTCAGGTTGAGTAAAAGTCAAATAAAACAGAGGGGTTGGTGTAGCACCTGGGTTGTCCTTAAACAAGTATAGGGAACGATGAAGAGTGCAGGAACTGATAGTGTAATACGTTTTTTGTAGTAATGGGAAATAAAAAAGTAGCACTTACACTTTTTTGGAGCTGTAATCCAGCTCTGACTTGAGAGTTTTGGTGGTATGATCCACGCCTAGTATGTGTTTGGTAATCTTAGTCATTTATAAAGCATGGAGCGTGAACAGGCATTTAAATACATGTGGTTTATGTACCAAACTCCGAATTATAGTGCATTAAATCCAAATTGCAAACATTTGGTCTAAATAGCTAATTTGGAAAACAATTCTCAAACTCAGGGTTATTCACTTAAGTGAGAATTGCAGGGAATTCAAAGTGAATTTTAAATTGAAGGCAGAAGTAGCCGAACTGAAAGCCTAGCTGAATGGGAGAATTTTTCCTGTACAGCTATTTTGATCTTAAATTTATAATTCAAATTAAGCTTGAAATTCAGCTTGGTTATATTGGCCTAAAGTTTACCGTTTTATTTCCATTTACTTACAGGTCAGCGTTTAATGAATATCGGTAATATAGAAGAGGTCCAGGCACTCCAATAGCTTTTGTTCCATGTATTTGAGCTGCAATGTTTCGACCCACGATTGGGTCTATTTCAAGCTTGACAAAGACCCAATCATGGGTCGAAACGTTGCAGTGTTCTGTTTGTTCTAATAAATGTACATGAAGCTATTTGAGTGGCTGGATCTCTTCTCGCTTACCGATATTTCCAAATGTTGGGATTGTGCTGGCCCATGGTCTGGTTTGGCACCCTTAGCTTATGTTGATTGAGTGTGGTTCCTGTTTGATATAGTGTCTAATGAATTAACCTATTAGTTTGCACACATGTGATTACACTGGGTTTCCTTTCATGTAGGCTATTCCATATTCCATATCTGGTAGTAGTATAAAAGATGATTTGGAGGTCGTTACTGTAAAAATAAACTGTAAACAATGGTGCATAAGCACAAATATTATTTTGATTTATAATTCCATAAATAATATGACCGATTGCTCCATTGACATTTTGCAAGAAAGATGATATAAAACTCTTAATCACTGTTAATCCTGGGATTAAAATGTATTCTAAACACAATTATAAACTGAAACCTATGGGGAAACCTAGGCGTTAACATAATTTTAATGAAACTCTAAATCAGGCATTAGTTCACCTTGGTTACAATGACATGTGAGCGTGTTGATAGAATTGTAAATACACCATCCTGAATCCTTCAAGTAAATTACGTTTAGGTAACTCTCTCAAATAAAAAAAATGTAGCTTCACTAATGTATCAAATGTTATGCAGACAAATGACCATCATCAAATATACAGCACTTGTCTGAAAATGAGTAATGTGTTTTGTTGCCTAATCAGGTACAAAGCAATTCTCACTGTGTTGTGCAATTTTTTTATTTTATTTATTTAACCTCTTAAAGACCAGTAAAGGTCTATTTAGTCATAGCAATATATTATTTAAATATTCTAATGAAATTACCCATTAATTTGACTGCAGGGCTAACTATACATGCAGATAAGGTTAAAAGGGTTACTCTAATACTTTTAACATAATGTACAATGCCCTGTTGGACATTATTAACCCCTTAAGGACTGAGCCAAATGTACACGTTTTAATCAAAATAAAATGTAAACAAAACTTGGAATCTGACTATAGTATTTATTATGTTATTATTTATATAGCGTCAACAAATTCCGCAGCACTTTACAGTGGGTGGACGAACAGACATGTAGTTGTAACCAGACAAGTTGGACGCACAGGAACAGAGGGGTTGAGGGCCCTGCTCAGTGAGCTTACATGCTAGAGGCTAGAAGGAGTGGGGTAAAGGGACACAAAAGGTAAGGATAGTATTATACTAATGGCAGTTGCAAGAGAGGAATCAGTAGGGATATATTAACAGTTTAATTGATACGCTTTTATGAAGAAGTGGGTTTTTAATGATTTTTTGAAGGAGTGGAGACTGGGTGAGCACGGAGGAGGGAAAAGAGTTCCACAGGAATGGTGCAGCCCTCAAGAAGTCTTGAAGGCAAGCATCAGAGGAGGGAGTACGGACAGAAGATATGTCTGTTCAACCGTAATTCACCTCATATTCATGTTTCATATTAAGTGCACCCACACCTATTATGTATCATTTTATTCAGGAGAAATATGGCTTTCATTTAACATCAAATATTTAGCTATGAAACATATTTTAATATGAATAAAATGTAAAACAATGTGAGAAATTAAGATTTTTTTTTACATTATTTTAATTCTGCATGACATATTAACTGTGAATGTCATAATACTGTTTGCTTTTACTGCAATAAAATACACATATTTGTATTCAGCGATGTCTCACGTGTAAAACAGTACCTCCTATGTACATGTTATATGGTGTTTTGGGAAGTTACAGGGTCAAATATAGCATGTTACATTTTTCATTTTTTTCACACTGAAATTCGCCATATTGGTTACGTTGCCTTTGAGACCATATGGTAGCCCAGGAATGAGAATTACCCCTATGATGGCATACCATTTGCAATAATAGACAACCCAAGGTATTGCAAATGGGGTATGTCCAGTCTTTTTTAGTAGCCACTTAGTCACAAACACAAACATTCCATCAAGTGATCGTGAGGTCCTCGCAATCACATGGCCCAGGAGGGTCAGATCAGCAGCAGGAGGATTCCCTGGGATGCCAGGCAAGTCCCGCCATCGCAATTGCCGGTGGAGGATCGCCAGCGAACAGGTAAGTACATAGGAAAGCGTGATATGTCCCCAAGGATGGCATAGTACGCCCGCCATCCTTGGCAATCGTACCATTGCTCACATAACACATGTTCATTCTCATTTTCAGGGCCGGCGCGTTCTATAGGTAGTTGCCTAGGGTGCACTGGCCCAGGGGGTGCCAGATTTGAGTGACCTGCAGGAGGGAAGCGCACACCCTACATAGGTGTGTGTCTGTCTGTGTCATTGTGTGTGTCTGTCTGTGTCATGGGGTGTGTGTCTGTCTGTGTCATGCAATGTGTGTCTGTGTCATGGCTAAACAGGGAGGGAGGACCACCAAGGAGGGGGGAGGGGAAGGACCACTAAGGGGAGTGGGAGGACCACCATGGACTGGTGAGGAGGGGAACGACCACTTAGAGTGGGGGAGAGGACCACTAAGGGCGTTTAGGACCACCAAGGGGTGAGAGGACCACTAAGGGGTTGGGGAGTGGGGGCAGAGTGAGGACCACTAAGGGGGTGGGGGAGAGAGAAGATCACTACGGGGGGAGGACCACTGGGGGGAGAGGGGACTGAAGAGGACCACTAGAGTGTGGGCAGGGCCGGACTGGGGATTCCAAAGCAGCCCTGGAAAAAAAATCTATGCCAGCCCCATAAGTCATTGCGCCATATATTGTCGCATTTAATATGTAAGGCTATGTCTTGCCACCCTAGATGATTGATATATATATATATATATAGCTTTTTCCAATATAAAATACAATATAATACAATCTCACTGATACAAGCTGATTGATACACAGCCTCATAGACAAACAATCTCACTGATATACATAAGGTCATTGACATAACAACACAAGCCCACTCACTAGCAGGTGCGCACACACAAACAGCTTAATGTAGTGGCTCTGGTGTCTATAGCCTGTCCCTGCAGGCTTTTCAATGTAAACACTGACTTTTTAGAGAAAAGGCAGTGTTTACATTGCTTCCTAGTGACAGACACTCAGACGGTCACTAGAGGTGCTTCCTGTGTCAGTGCGGATTGGCTGAGATGATCAAGCTTGATGATCTCAGCCGTAGAGGCAGAGCCAGTTCAGGGAAGACAAGCACGACGTGGGGGAAAAGGTGAGTAAAAACATAGATACACACACACACATACCATGGCAGACACACACCACGACACAGACAGACCGTGACACAGACACACACACCGTGACACAGACAGAAACACACACCGTGACACAGACAGAAACACACACCATGACAGACACACACACACATACCATGACCGAGACACACACATACCATGCAAGACACACACACACCATGACAGACACACACCATAACACAGACAGACTGTGACACAGACACACACCATGACACACACACCACGACACAGAGAGAACGTGACACAGACAGACACACACACACCATAACAAACACACACACACCATGACACAGACAGACCGTGACACAGACAGACACACATTACATGACACACACACACCATGACACAGACACACATTGCATGACAGACAGACGCACACCCCATGACACAGACAGACACACACAATGACACACACACCATGACACAGAGACACACACGCCATGGCACAGACAGAGACACACACAATGACACAGACAGAGACACACACACACCATGACAAAGACAGAGACACACACCATGACACAGAAAGAGACACACACCATGACACAGACAGACACATACACACACCATGACACAGACAGACAGACAGATACACACACCATGACAGAGACACATACACACACCATGACACACACCATGACACAGAGACACACACCATGACACAGACAGAGAGACAAACACACACCATGACACAGACAGAGAGACACACACACACACACACATGACACAGAAAGACACACACACACCATGACACAGACAGAGACACACACACACCATGACACAGACAGAGACACACACCATGACACACACAGACAGACACACACCGCGACACACACAGACACACACACCATGACACAGACAGAGACAGACACACACCATGACACAGAAAGAGACACACACCATGACATAGACAGAGACACACACACACCATGACACAGACAGAGACACATACACACACCATGACACAGACAGAGACACACACCATGACACAGACACAGAGACACACACACATGACACACACAGACAGACACACACCATGACACAGACAGAGACACACACACACCATGACACAGAAAGAGACACACACCATGACATAGACAGAGACACACACACACCATGACACAGACAGAGACACACACCATGACACAGACAGAGAGACACACACACACACCATGACACAGACAGAGACACACACAGACACACACACACATACACTCACACTGACACACAATTTCTGCCTGTGGGGAAGCTCCTTTGGTGGCCGCAGGGGGAGCTGGCTGTTCTGGCTCTGCTCCCCCTCCCCAGCGCGCCACTTAATGAGACCGGGGCCGGAATATGATGTCATATTCCAGCCCCGGTCTCTTTGTAGTGCGCTGGGGAGCAGAGCCAGAACAGCCAGCTCCCCCTGCGGCCGCCAGAACAGCCAGCTCCCCCTGCAGCCGCCTAAAGAGCTCCCTCTGCGGTCGCAGGTGAGCCAGCTGCCTGCCTGCCCGGCCCCAGGTGATGACGGCCCACCGGGAAATTTCCCGGTATCCCAGTGGGCCAGTCCGGCCCTGAGTGTGGGAGATGGAGGCCCACTAAGGGGTTGGGGAAGTGGGAGGACCACTAAGGGGTTGGGGAGGAGGTCCTCTAAGAGAGGAGGAGAGGGAGGATCACTAAAGGGGGGAGGGAGGACCACTAAGAGGGGAGAGGGGGGAGTGAATGCACCACTAAAGGGGGGGGGGTGAGAAGGCCATTAAGGGGGGGGAGAGAGGGGAGTGAGAGGACCACCAAGGAGGGACTGGAGAGGGACAGGGGACAAAGGTAGAGCACTAAGGGACAGGAGGGGAGGAGAGAGCACTAAGGGACAGAAGGGGAGAACATTGAGATACAGGAGGGAAGGGGAGATCACTAATTGACAGGAGGAGAGAGCACTATAAAAAAAATACAAAATAAAGAGCTGACAGACACCCCATGACTCAGTCCCTATCCTACCCCACAAACCCTCTCTTTTGCACTACACACATACACAATGCATCCTTACATATACAATGCATCCCTACACAAACACACACACACACAGACACACCGAAACACACAATGCATGCCTTACGCACACACACACTGCTTCTCTTACACACACAGAAACAAATGCATCTCTTACAGACACACACTGCATTAAATTACATACGCAGAAACAAACCTTGCATCCCTTACACACATACCCAGAAATATACAATTCATTCCTTACACACAAACATTCACTGCATCCCATATACACACACTACATACCTTACACAAATTGATATCCCTAGACACTATATTCCATAAGAACACACAGATTACGTCCTCTACAATAACACATAACACATCCCCTACACACATACACTCCACTCCCTATGAAAGAACTCATGGGTGGGCCATGTAGGTGGATTTATGGGTGGGCCTTGTAGGCATTCTCACGGTCAGGCCCTGGGGGCCCAGACCATGAGCTGTGTAAGGGGTCCCAAAAATGGAGCTGCTTCCTGTTCATTGACTTTTGTGAGCACTGTTACAAACAGTCTCCAGAGAGCCTCTTCTACACCAGACCTGTGGAGCCAGACTGCAGCCTGAGCCCATCATCATCCTCTAGTCCTCATCTGGTGGTAAGTCGGCAATCCAATATATTATTAGTGGCATTAATCTTTAATTTACTTCACATTAAAGGGCCACTATAGTCACCCTTAATGTAGTGGTTTTAGTGTCTATATCCTGTGCCTGCAGGCTTTTTAATGTAAACACACTGCCTTTTTAGAAAAAAGACACTTTGTGCAGAACAGGCGTTGGCCCATATGGCAGAGCATATGGGTGGGGTATTGTGATGTCACGTGGTGGGCAGAACATATGGGGGGCCCGCAATTTTTTTTTTGCTTAGGGCGGCAAAAATCCTTGCACCGGCCCTGCTCACTTGTTTGCCAGAGAAGCCACAGTGCCCCAGCAATGGTGTTATTGTTACCAATTCGTAGTGATATGTCCCTTCTTGCAGCAAATGTCATGCATATTTGATACAAATATTATGGACAAACCTCTCAATGGATTTATCATGGTACAGTCGTATAGTTCGCAAAAAAAAAAAGTATTGCGTTAGAAAAAAAACTAAATTGCACATAATTATGTGAAAAAGATGTTACCACAGCTAATTAGTATGTAAATGTTATGCTACATCAGTCAGAACTCAAAGTACAAAAAAGGGATGTATACACACACACAGACACACATATATATATAACACACAAGCACGTCTTGTGTTTTTATGAAGCTGATATTATTGTCTGAGTCAGATTAAATTCATATATCTTACCTGTCACCGGGGCTGCAAATCTTCCTGTCATGACATCAAAAAAATTTCCGACATTGGTTTCCACACTGCTGAAAATGATTCCGCTGTTTATGTTGCTAAAATGGGTTGCCATGGAAGCCATGAAAGCAACCTGGAAAATAAAAATGTATTTTCTTTTTAAGTTGTATACATTATGCAGTACATTATTTTATTTAATACATTAAGCCTGCTGCTGACAAAAAAAAGTAATCTATGCAAAATTTGCTACAAATTTAAATGATTTACCTCATGCTTTCCCTCTCCCATGGGCAGACAGTTTTATTTAAAGACACAGCTTTCAGGGCCAACAGCAATAACCCCATAATGCGGTGTATAATTAACTGCAAATATGATGTATTATATTAGCACTATTACAAATTATGTTCTGATTCACACACATTACACATTACAGTAGAGCTCTGTGATAAAGTGATACATGCCATATTGCATAACACTGTCGAGTAGGGGTAGACAAACTTTTAGTAATACTGTGCCAAAAACAAAAATCTTGAAGTCCCTTGGTGTGCCAGTGCTATTTTCTTAAATTGAGGTGTGTACGTTGGTGTATTCTGCTTGTGTTGTTTTTGGGTGCTGCAGTTGCTTTGTAGAGTTGTAATCATGTGTATGTGGGAAGTCTATTCTACTGTATATGTTCATGAGAAGCAGTGGCACTATCACCTGTGTGTCGGTGTGTTTATCTGTGTGTCTGTGTATGCAGATGTGTCAGGGCCCTCTCTCATTAATGCCTATGAATGTGGGGTGTGTATAGGAGCTGCTTGTGGAATTGTGTGAATGATATCACATTGTGTGTTTGGTGGTATGTGTAGGTCTGCTTGTGGTATTACATGTGAACGGCTGCTTGTGGGGTTGTGTGTATGTATGTTGATTGTCAGTGGTGTTGTCGCTGTGAGGACTGTGTGTGTTTGTGTGTGGGTTGCTTATATTATTTGTTCAAGGGGGAGGCTTAATCTGCAGCTCTGTGTTTATGTAGCAGTATGGTTGGCTTCCCTGGGGAAGTGGTTTATGAAGTGGTGATGGTGGTAGGAATCTGAATGTGCAGTCTACTTGAAACATTACACATCCTGAGATATTTTGAATTATGTGCTGGAGGCAAGTTGCACCCCCAGCACTTGTGACTTAAACAGCCCAGAACTCTCTTCTAGATGGCCTCATGTAAATTCTGTGCAGAAATAAAAAGTCTGCTGTAAGCTAGCATTGCCCATTGCCAACAGAGATGACAGTTTCTACTTTGCCAGCAGAGCCTGCAAGAGGAAGCTCTTAGCTGCCCTTCCTCCCTAAACATTGATTGCATGCCTCCCCACGTGCTTACCCCCTCCAGTGATACATTTTTTTTTTTTGCCCAGTCATCACCCCTCCACTTTACTTGCCCCCATGCCAGTTCAGAGCACGTGCATGCACTCTGAGCTGGGTAAACCCTACAATCAAAAACTTCTCTACGAGAAGCCATTGATTGGACTATGATGAGGTTGCCATGACATAAGACGGGGGTACGCAAAACAGCGCCAAGGTGTTCGTCCAGTGCTGGATAAAGGTAAGTAAAAATTACAAAGTGTGTTAGCACTCAATCAGATTATAGGTGCCGGTGTCTTAGCCACCCCCTCAGGCCAAAAAATGAAATATCCAAAATATAAAAACAACATGAAGAAACTATAAAGAAAATATTAACCACCTCCATGGCTCACTGATGGGATGGTATTGCACAGGTGATGAGTAATGCCTGGAGTCCCCCAGACATGATAGTTTGATTAGAAGGCAGCTAAACAGTTACATCTTCATTTAATCAGACCAGGAAATCTTGTTTCTCAAAGTCTAAGCATCCTTTAGGTGCATTTTTGCAAAGTTCAAGTGGGCTTTCATGTTTCTTGCAGTGAGGAGATGCCAATCTGCCATTAAAGGACCACTATAGTGCCAGGAAAACATACTCGTTTTCCTGGCACTATAGTGCCCTGAGGGTGCCCCCACCCTCAGGGTCCCCCTCCCGCCCGGCTCTGGAAGGGGGAAAGGGGTAAAAACTTACCTTTTTCCAGCGCTGGGCGGAGAGCTCTCCTCCTCCTCTCCGCCTCCGTTACGCCCCGATGGCTGAATGCGCACGCGCGGCAAGAGCTGCGCGCGCATTCAGCCGGTCTCATAGGAAAGCATTTACAATGCTTTCCTATGGACGCTGGCGTGCTCTCACTGTGATTTTCACAGTGAGAAGCACGCAAGCGCCTCTAGTGGCTGTCAATGAGACAGCCACTAGAGGATTAGGGGGAAGGCTTAACCCATTCATAATTATAGCAGTTTCTCTGAAACTGCTATAATTATGAAAAAATGGGTTAACCCTAGAAGGACCTGGCACCCAGACCACTTCATTAAGCTGAAGTGGTCTGGGTGCCTAGAGTGGTCCTTTAAGGCCAGATCACTAGAGGGTTGCAGTGCTTGTATTATTTCAAAGTTCTGTGTCCTGACACAATCTTTTCTCTGAGCTCTGAAGGCAGTTCCTTTAACTTTATGGTTTGGTCTTTGCTCTGGATTTTATTTACAGCTCTAAGACCTTCTGTAGAAAGATGTGTGCTTTCTACATTAAGGCCACTCAGTTTAATTTATCTACAATCAGAGTATAGAAACATCTCAAATATGATCCAGGGAAATGGGATGTATCTGAGCTAAATTTCAAGTATAGCAAGAGATCTGAATGATTATGTCAATGCAATGCCTCAGTTCATTCATTACATTTGCCAAGTTTTCTTTTTTATCCTGGAATCACTGCAATGATTGGTTAACATGTGCATATAACAAGGAGAATTGAGCACCTTCTTCAGCTACAGGTTTCAACAAGAAGCAAACGACTGAAGGTAGCTGCATATATCACTGTATTTCAATATGCTGTAACGTTTGTATTGCATTCACTATTTCTTTAAAGCCAGTGTAAGCTCTGATCATTACTGATGTTACCCAATATATTTCTTTAAACTCTTTAATTACTATAAAAAGGTTTTGTTTTTTTAAATCTACGGCATCCATTTGTTGTTCATGTTAAAGAAAATAAATTGGAGTAAGAATCCAAATGAAATTCAAAGTGAATTTCAAATTAAAGGTAAAACTAGCAGAACTAGAAGAATTCTTTAAAGAACCACTATAGTGCCCTGAGTGTGCCCCCACCCTCACGGCCCTCTTCCTGCTGGGCTCGAGGGGGTGGAAGGGGTTAAATTTACCTCTTTCTCCAGCGCCGGGCGAGGAACTCTCCTCCTCCTCCTCTCCTCCTCCTCGGCTGAATGCGCATCCTATGGATGCTGGCGTCTTCTCACTGTGAAAATCACAGGGAGAAGCGCGGAAGCGCCTCTAGCAGCTATGTTTATAGCGCCTCTGAAACTGCTATGTTTATAGAAAAAAGGGTTAAACCTGGCTGGACCTGGCACCCAGACCACTTCATTAAGCTGAAGTGGTCTGGTGCCTATAGTGGTCCTTTAACCCCTTAAGGACCAAACTTCTGGAATAAAATGGAATCATGACATGTCACACATGTCATGTGTCCTTAAGGGTAGAGATGTCGCGAACCGTCCGCGAACTTCTCGCGAATGGTTCGCCACGAGCTGTTCGTGGCGAACTATGGTCAGCTGACACATCCCGGCCAATCTCCAGCAGACCCTCCCTCCCAGACCCTCCTACTTCCTGGACAGCATCCATGTTGAAACAACATGGATGCTGTCCAGGAAGTAGGAGGGTCTGGGAGGGAGGGTCTGCTGGAGATTGACCGGGATGTGTCAGCTGACCGGAGTTCGCCACGAACAGCTCGTCGCGAACCGTTCGCGACATCTCTACTTAAGGGGTTAAGGCAGCTATTATTTATTTTGTCCTGATAATTTAATTCACTTTGAATTAATTTTGAAAGTGGTTAACTTTTAAACAGCAAATATATAAATATATGTACCAGCTCAAAAACAAAAACCAACATATATTGCGGTTCAAGGATGAAAAAAACAATTAAATGAGCACTGACAAATATGTTTATACTTTGTTATTTTTATACAATAATAAATAGGGATGTTCATGGGCAAAAAATTTGGTTCGGAAATTTGGGTAAGTAAAAAAATTTGTCTGCTTCGGCAATTCGGACCAATGGCATCTGGTTCGGTTTGGCACTTCCTAAATTCGGAACTTTGGCAATTCTGAACTTTGGTAATTCGGAACTTCAGTAATTCGGACCCTAACCTAAACTCTAACCCTAACCCTAAACCCTAACCCTAAACCCTAACCCACTTTGGAACTTGGCAATTCGGGACTCTGGCAATTTGGGACTCCGGCAATTTGGAACTTCGGCAATTCCTGACTTTGGCAATTCGGTTCAGTTCAGCACTTCAGCAATTCGGAAATTTAGCAATTCGAACTTCGGACATTCGTAAGCATCGGAATGACCGAATTGCGCAAAATTCGTCTGAATGTACATTCGGAACGAAACTAATTGCACATGTCTAATAATAAAAATAATTAACAGAAAAGAATGCCTTTTCATGTATTCCTTTATCTTTTGAATTAATAATGGCGGGATAGTGGTGATTAGAAGGCAACCCCCGGTCACACACACACACACTTTTTTTGTAGCTTTGATTCAGTAAAATTCAGTAAAATTGTTGGCTACTCTAAAGTACAAATATTTTTTGATCATGCTGAGAAAGGAAGCACTTTTTATTTAAGAAATGAAACACCAGCAGTATATGCACTATGTTGATGTAGGAGAGTTAATGACAAGATGCGCATCAATGCAAGAAACAGGAGTTGATAAGGAAAGTACAATTAACAACTGTCTCTGAAACAATCAGGTGCCTACAGCAGACATTACATTTTGTGCCAATTCTGAGGCTGGTATTTGTAAATGCCACTTGAAATGTCAGGTATGTGATGGAGAGAGAAGAAAAATCTGATAAATTACTTTTTAATCCAGCCTGCATTTCAAAATATTGATCTAAGTTTTATGATGGCAAAAGAAAATTAAAAATCAAGATATGCAATATTTAAAGGTATTCCGCCTCTAAAAAAAAAAAATACATAAATATTGATTCATAGTAATTCATCATGGTCCAGCTCCTAAGGTTTAATTTTACCGTGCTGCACATTTACATTGATATGACTCTTTCATCTGAAAAAATTATCACAGAGGCATTTGGGGCTCTCGTGAAGGTTTAAATTGCATTTCCAATAGTAGCACGTATGCACTTTTTCATATTTTAATTTTTATTTAATGAAAGGTTGTCCTTACAGTTCTAGTAAGGCTGTCCTCAGAAATTTTGGGGTCACTCACTAAAAATTTGCAGGATTATTCACTATTATTCATGTGAGGATCGTTGGGAATTCAAAATGAATTTCTAATTTAGACCAAAATTGCCAATCTGGAAAATTTACAAAATTGCTGCCAGTTCAGCTACTTTGGACTTAAATTTTAATTTCACTTGGAATTTATTAATAGGAGTTCCAGACAATTCTCACTTTAGTGAATAGCCCTGTTGGCACTGTAAAAAAGATATTCAGAGAAATGAAGGAGCGAGACTAGCAGGGTGAGAAATTAGAGAGGAGGAAGAATCCAAAGAGATTTTTTGCTCTCCCTCATTTCAGCCCTGATGCACAGGGCACCAGAATTCTCTGAATGTGGACCTTGGAAACATGTGGGCACTCTGAGGATTGTGGGAAGACATTCATTAATGCTTAGGGATCATGGGAAGATGGTTGCACTTGTCGCCTAGAAGTGCAACAGAAAGAAGCTTATTTTATGCTGACATTCATTACATACCTTACCCGTATATACACTTCAATGGTATTTGTTTGAATTCAGAAAAATGTTATCAGTTTAAGAAGTCACTCTTCAAGAGTAACAGCAGCAGGAATTGTGCAGACCTTTGTTTGCTTAACACTGTGTGGATTTGTGCATAGGCTGGTGGCCTGAACCCTCAAAGCTCTCCAGGCCTGGACTGTCCCACTTGGATATTTCCTGGTGGACTGTAATATCTGATACTGACGAGGCTGCCAGACTACAATGAGTATGTTTCATGTCCCGGGGGGAGTTAGCCATTGTAAATAGGTGAGATAAAACAGTGACACTCATAATACACAACAGTGTTATGAATTAGGTGTCTCTTAGGCTCTGTGAATCCTCCTTCAAACTGTGTCGGGCACACGGACGGAGGTACATACGATGCGGCATCTTGCAACATCAGCATTCATCGGTCAAATCTGTATAACATATTCTTCAGAATAAAAGAAGCACCCACATGTGTCATTAAACTGTGTGTTTGTTTTTGTTTTTTTGAGATTTTTTTTTTTTTTTTTAGAGGGAGTGGCAGTTTTCACTAAAACCATATTTTACCCAATATGCAGAAAAATATATTTTAGAACTTAAACTTTATAACCACATATTCTGATGAAATGCAGTCATTTCCAGTACATTCTATTGCTGGTGATTTTTATGACTACCTTTCATGTTATAGACAACTAAAACATTGTGTACAGTTTGTGGTAAAAATAAATGTGATATAGCCAAATTCTCAGAGGACATGCAGAGTTAGTGTGACAACCATGAACCATTATTTAATTGAAATGTTTAAAGATGTCTGGGCTCTTTGGATAGACAATTGAGACAATTTGCTTTTTTTTTTTTAGTTAAACAATACTCTATTATATGTAACATTATTGTACTTATCCTGCACCTTTGTCCTCTTTAAACCCTTATTTTCTGTTTTGTTTCATTCTCTTTTTGTATAACCCTCTGTGCCCTCTTTGCCTCCTTATTGTTTAGTTCCTTTGAGCTAACAATACTTCTGTTCTACTGTTATTAAAAATGGAACACAATTCCTATACTGAAATGTGTATTATTTCAGATGGAATTTTTTCTCCGTTTTGCTCTGTGGGGGAACTTGTGCCATTAGCAATTTGACATTTGTTTACATGTGCACTTTTAATATAAAAAAAAAAACCTGAAAGCATTAAAAGGAAACTGTCACTTCTCTTGAAATGTTATTACTGAATGAAACGATGAAATCCCCTATAATTTATATTAACCTTTTTATATGTGATGATCATTTTTTTTTTCAATTATATTAATGATTTAGAAAATGACTTCATATTTCACAGTCAGGACACATATTGTAAATGAGGAAGAGGAACAGAAACATTGAGTGAGATTTATCACCAACACATTTAGATCAATTTTTTTGGTTCAGTTTATTAAATCTGCCTGATTTTTGCATCTGTTGTGTTTTTGTGCTCTAACCATCATTTTTATTATATATATATATATATATATATATATATATATATATACATACATACATATACACTTGAATATGCTTTTTTTTTCTGACAACACCACTTCTTTATGAATTTTCCGCCATTTCTTCTGACAGAAAAGTATTATTTACACTTCTGGTTTTTCTTCCCACCACTCTCAAGTTGACAGTCTTCTAAAATAGATAATTCTGTAAAAAAACTGACAGAATTTACTATAAAGAAAACTTTTAGTCCACGTTTAGTATACACTATTATTTTTTTTTTTTTTTTTTTTTATAGAAGCCCAGTGATAGGCTCTAAGGCTAAACCTTCTCCATACTGCAGAGGCAGGAAGGAAGCCAGAAGCAGAGGTCTCAGATGCAGGGGGCCCAATTTTACAGAATTGCAAAACACTGAAACTCATGACGGTAGAACAGTGCCAAACACTCCTGCCTCATAAGAATTTAAATGAGCTTAAATTGTAAGAGATGGGAGTGTTCCTAAAATAATGATAGCATTTAAACATCAATTTCCAATTACTTTGATAAATATCCCCTAATGTTTTATTTCCCTTCTTATCAGTATTGCGGACTACCAAGTGCAAAACACAATGTTTTTAATAATGATTGACAGGTTGGTAAGATGGAGGCTCACAGCTGCAGAAAAGACGTTGATTTCTGCACTTAATGCTATTTTTCTTCACAAATACATATTTGTTAAATATAGGGATAAGCAAACATTATATTAAAAATCCTTTGATCTAATAGTTTTCCTTGAACTAATTTTCAGTTATTAAATATCAAGAGTTGGTAGTCTTTTTCTTTGTAAATAAATTGCAGCTTCATACTATTGCCCAATTATGCAAAATAATGACACTATTTCACTACATTCATTACTTTGTAGTTTGTAGAAAGTAAACCTTTCCCAATAAATAATTTTCAGACTGATTCCAGAGGAGTTGAAGAGGACTCGTCTTTAAAAAAATATATTTTAAGAATCTAGTTTATTGAATCTGACTACTATAGCACAAGTTCCCATGGAACAACTATATAAATGATTATACATCTTCCACTGACATGAACATAAACTCAGCAATGGTTACAGTCACAAAATAACACGTTCCTGAAGCTATGACAGGTTCATACACCCTGCAGTTTCTCTTAAGTTATCTGTAAAGAATGGACTGTGTTGTTATTTCAGATGGCATTTTTTATCCCTTAGTCTCTGTGGGGGACATTGTGGCCAGCTATTTAGTTTTTTTAGAAATAAATTGATTCTGTCAATATCGCAGCATGCTCGTCCACCACACGCCTTTCAGTTACAATGGTTCGATTAATGAAGGAGGGGATGTTTATTTTATTTTTAATTTAATTTGTTGTTGTTTTTGTTGTTGTTGTTGTTGTTGTTGTTCTTTATCACCTATTCATTTTCACTAAAGATTTTGCCAAAACCCTATTTTTAGTAGATGGTAATTCACAATTTTTGTTTATTTTTATTTTTCTGGAAGCAGTGAGTTAATCTCTCAATTGGTAATCTGAGGTCTGTGCGTTTCAATCCTTGATGTAGACTAACTATTATTTAAAAGGTGACTGTATATGTGCCTTCCCAGCTAAGCTACAAGTTATGGCTCGTGCTCAGTGTTCTGTTCTCAAATATTTTATTTCTCTTGCCATAGCAGATACAAAAGGTAAGTTTCTTTATCACCTGCTCCCCCAAACTAAACACGTTAAAAGTGTATTACTAATGAAAATCCATATATGATGGTCAAACAGTAGGCTTAGTATACAAAGAGTAGGGGACTTTGTAAGCACCGAAGGTGCTGGATCTAATGCAATATCTAAAAGGTTTGTTTGTTTTGCATGATTCTAGATGTATTATTTTAAGAGGAAGTGATTACTGAACTAAAACAAAAAATACAGCCGTACAGTTTCTGTAGAGAAATGCATAGCAACTGCACACCACACCTGAGGTAACTTCCTTCAAAAAACAGAGCTTCTATTAGCTTGCTCAAGCAGCTTCAATTTTATTTGCAACGGATGAAGAAATGTACATCTGGTCTGCTGTGCAGGGTATGGCTTATTATGACTGTGAGAGGTCTTCTCCCATGGCTTCATAGTCAAAGTCAGGGACACAATTCACTCACGTGATCATTTTGCCTCACTACCCATATTAATTCACTTTTAAAAAAAATTACAAATAATGCATAAGTGATGAGAATGTTGCAGAAAAAGCTAAGCTAAGGGTGGAATTAGTTACAGAGGTAGGTAAAAGATTAGAAGATATTTATTTTTAATAGTATTTTCCCATTCACCCAACTCCTGTTAATTCAAGTAGAAAATATTCTATATATTTTGTAATTGCAAAAAAAACAATAAAATAATTTGAAAATAATTATTGACAGATAAGCGGTAATGGTGGGAGAATGGTGAGTTAACTTCTGATGGTATGGTAGCTATGGCAGAACTGTGCATATATAGCTTGCATGTTGAGGTGTGCTCAATGAATAAAACTCATGAAATTTAGTTATTAACCGGATTATTCTATTTTACTAAAGATTTAATATGAAGAACCTCAAGATGATCTTGAGAATTTGCTGGGTTTGCACTTTGTAATAAAAATAATACACCAGTTGAGTGTCTGTAGATCATGTGATATGTGACTATAGTTAGTAGTCCCTGCTTTTTATAGCTTAAAGTGGCACTGTCACCATCTGGAGACTTTGCCGAATTCGCAAACACCTCCGACGCTGACATTACCATTGGCCGGTGGGAGCAGATAAAGGTAAGATTACTTACCTGAATTTGTCCCTCATAGGTGCTGTGTCCCTCAATGATGCTGCTGTGCGTGAGAGGACAGCTTTGAGGTCTATGGAAGACCTTGGGATATCTTCCATACACACTGCCAATTCCCTGCAGCTGTCTCTGGTGATGGCTGTCGGGATTGACTATTACACTCCACCCGGAGTCTAAGAAAGTCAGTGGTAGGGAGTATACAGAGACAAAGTAGCACCTACTTTGTCTCTGTGTTTCTCTTGACTGGGTTGGAATTTCAGTCACATTCAAACACCTGTCAAAATGAGTAATTGATAAAATTCTTTCTTTATGAAACACTCATTTTTCAGAGGGGGATCGACAGTGCTGCTGTAATATAGGATCTCTAGTGCTGTACCTATTTTGGAGAAACCTGGGAAACCTCCCAACAGATTCACAAAGAACTACTTCATTACCAGAGTAATGATCCGATCCCTGCTATTGCCTGCAATGTGTTGAAATTACTAAGATTCTTGATTGAATTAATGATTTCATTCTGGTCTTTTATATGTGGATATACTAAACTATATTTGTTTTTGCTTATCTTGAGATTGAAATCCATTTGAATAGGGTGGGGTGTTGATTATTAAAGCACACCTGTGTTCAGTGGCATATTCGGGGGGGGCAACGGGGCAATTGCCCCCCCCCAAGATTCTCCCCTGGCATTGTCCATGTGCCAGCCCTGCAATGTGCCTGCGGACCGGGGAGATCTCCCTCCCCGAACTGCAGGCACCGTGCTGGCAATCGGCAGGGGAGAGAGAGGACCGGGAGCTCAGCCTGCAGCTCCTCCGGGACCTACTCTCGCGAGCACAGAGCATTGCCACGGTTACTACGGCAACGCTCCAAATCCCACAGGAGTGAACTCTAGCCCTGGAGCTACTTGCTAGAGTTCACTCTAAGCACTGGAACCACCAGGGAATCACCAGGGATCGAGCAATGTCCCCCTCCTCCTCAATAAAGGTAAGAAGGGAGGGGTGACATAAATTTATTTATTTAATTAAATTTAAAAAAAACCCTACCCTCCTTCCCCATGCACACACTGCCCCACACACACACTGGCCCACAAACACTGCCCCACACACACACACACACACTGCCCCACACACACACACACTACCCCCCACACACACACACTGCCCCCACACACACTGGCCCAGAAACACTGCCCCCATACACACACTGCCCCACACACACACTGCCCCACAGACACTGCCACCCATACACACACTGCCCCATACACACACTGCCCCACGCACACACACTGCCACCCACCCATACATACACTTCCCCCCAAAACACTGCCACCCATACATACACTGCCTCACACACACACACATGGCACACCCATACACACACTACCCCACAAACACTGCCACCCATACATACATTGCCTCACACACACACTGCACACCCATACACACACTGCCCCACAAACACTGCCCCCATACATACACTGCCCCCCATACACAGACTGCCCCACACGCACACACTGCCGCCAATACATACACTGCCCCACAAACACTGTCCCCATACACACACTGCCCCACAAACAGTCACCCATACACACACTGCACACCCATACATACACTGCCCCACAAATAATGCCACCCATACACACACACTGCACACCCATACACACATTGCCCCACACATGATCCCCCACATACATACAGTGCCCCATACATACACACAGTTCCCCCAAACACACATACAGTGCTCCCCAAACACACATACATGGCCCCCATACACACATTGCCCCCCACACACACAGTGCCCCCCAATACACACACTGCCCCAAACACACATACAGTCCCCCCATACACACACTGCCCCACACACACATACACTGCACTCACACACACACTTCAGCGCTCACACACACATACACACTGCAACCCTGGCATACACTGCCGCCCTCATGCACTCACACACACACTTCAGCGCTCACACACACACTGCACCTTTCACACACACTTCACCCCTCACATATGCCACTGCTCTTATGCCCTATATCCCAGCAGATGCCAGGTAAGTTGTCAAACTGTTCTTAAATGGTTTGACTACTTAATCTGGGATGGGATCCTGGCACTACTGGCACCATAACTACTCCACTGAGCTGTAGTGGTTATTGTGCCTGCATTATCTAGTTAAATAATCTACAAGTGCCCCTCCCAAGATCAGGCTCTGTATCTGCCACTACCTGCGTTATCATTGCGCCTCAACATTTAGGCTCTTAATACTGTGAGTGTTAATTTAATTATTTTGTTTGCACATTGCACTTTTTTCAGTACCATCTGCACTATTATTGTTTTATTTATTTTTTTAATGTTAAACCATATCAAGAGTCACAATATATATTGAATTAAGGGTAAGCAAATCATTGCATGTATTTTTCCAGCACTCCACTTTTTCAAGTTAAACACTTGTAAATTGCCTTCTATCTGTAAATAAGCGTGAGGGACATAAGGAATTTCCTCACTTGTGTTTAGAGCTGCTGTCCTTTCCACTGTTCAATTTAATTGAAGCACTTAATCGCATCTAATCCTTGTGAGTTATTTTCTATTTAAACAATTAGAAATGGGATTAAAAGAAACACTCCATGCATCATAACCACTTCAGCCTGCTGTAAGTGGTTATGGTGCCATAAGTACTCTTGCGGCCTCCCAGGTTAGGCAGTCAGACTGCTAACTAATAGTTTGATCATTTACTAGGAGCGCACAGCAGATGTGCAGCAGTGAGCTAAACCTAATGACACAGGTAGGCACTAATTGGCTGAGAGAGCTCAGATAACACTCTCATCCAATGAGCTAACCCCATGGCAGGATTCCACTAAGCAGAGTTAGCTCCCTTTATTCAGTTTTGACCAAGTGGTAGGACCTTTATCAAACTTACTTGTATTCCTAAAATGTACATCTCATATTATAATGCTAAAGGCCACACTGTTACATGAAAACACACACACAAAAATAACTTATACTAAACAAAGTACTTTCACATTTATCCTTGCTTATCAAAATTGATAATAATTGTGATATCATGTCACCTACTGATGTTTTAACATTTTAAAAACTTTTCTACTTTTTTTCTAAAAATCAATCTCAAACTGAAGTTTCACATTGGTTGAATAGATGAAGCCCCAGAACTCATGTGTTTAGGGACATCTGGAAGAAGACAGATCTGGGGGAGGATAAGAAGGATTGTTAGCCAGAGGGTAAAGACCTTCAAACAAAATTAAGTGTTGCTTTCCTTAAACTGATAGATGAACATCTTCTAGAACTCATCAGAGGATCCTTTAATAAGCTCCAAATGTGCCTCGCTATTGTATATTTCAGAAAAAATAATAGGAAATTTAGCTGAAATTGCAATATGGCTATTTGGAGATTAGCCACAAATGTGCAGATATAATTGGGAACATACAGAGTATGATAGAGAATATAACTGGAATGTCAGAATTCAATGTAAAGTACATTGATCTGGACATTTTGCAAGCACGGAACTGAATCAGAAATTATTTGGGACAGAAACTTAGCCAGAGAAACTTCTCAATTATGTCATCTAAAGTTACTGCAGAGTAGGTTTGGGGATTCTACCCTATCCTTCTATTTGACAGACCAACACTAAAAAATGATCTGACAAAAAAAACATAGGGCCTGCATTTATAGAGATATAAACAAATATCAATAGGTCAATAATAAATAGTACATAAGAATAGCATCGCTGTATTCATTAAACAAAAAATTTTGTCCAGATGTACAAAATTAAAAAATGTAATGGTGGCCACTCAAAATATTGATACATTGGGCCCAATTCGTATCTCCACTTAGGGGTGTACTCACTTTTGTTGCCAATGGTTTAGACATTAATGGCTGTGTGTTGAGTTATTTTGAGGGGACAGCAAATTTACACTGTTATACAGGCTGCATATGTACTACTTTATATTGTAGCAGAGTGTTATTTCTTCAGTGTTGTCACATGAAACAATATAATAAAATATTTACCAAAATGTGAGGGGTGTATTCACCACTGTATGTACTAAAGCTGGACAGAATTTGGTCAACCGATCCTAATCTGCCTTATTCATCCAGGATGCATTTTATGTGAAATTTAAAACCCGTACTTTTTGCATCCTATTTCTACAGAAATTTAATTAATCTTAAAATACCCAAGTGGTGATTGCAGTTGAATTGTAGAATATTTCCAGAACCCTATTTTGGCCTAAATTGGGCCATGCAGATTTTCATTCACTACAATTACGAGTTTAAATAATGCTCAGTTTGTTTTAAGCCGCTGTCTACTTACACCATCATTTCTATGTAATGGAAATGCAATTAAATTTAACATAAAAATAAAAGGATACTTTTTAAGGAAGGTCTCTTCCTTAAAAGATAAAAATGCTGAAACAAAATAAGTACTTGCAGAATAAGAGATATAATTTAACAATAGAACATTACTATTTGTGAAACATGAGGAGCAATTTAATGCACAAAAACAATTTAACAATAGATATGAAATGCTACGTGAACTAGATTAATTATGTAGTTTAAGTCTCTAACTGCAATTTCAAAAGTAATGCATTGTGGGAGTGTTAACCCCTTAAGGACACAGATTCTGTAATAAAAGGGAATCATGACAGAATATTTCCGTCATGTGTCCTGTTTCTATGTTATCATTCAAAACTTAGAAAAAGTTTTTTATTATAATAGCTCTCAAGAATAAAGAGTTCTCAATAGGAAAAGGCACTTTCTTACCAAATGTTAGAACAGGTTTTTTTTTAAACAGAAACAAAATGTTTGATGGGCTACATAGATGATTAATTTGCCTAAATTTGATATTTGCTACAAATTTAAAGGTTTTTTTCTACTGAAAAAAACAAGCATTCCTTAGAAGTAGTAATGATTTGCAATGGAACCCTTTAAAAAACAATCTTCTTGAGGTTGCAGATCCATGAAAATATTACACTCAGATTTAAATACATTGCAAAAGGGTATCTAAGACATCCAAAAAAAAAGGTACATTACAATGTTTTTTTTTTTCTTCATTATATCTCATAGGGTTGAGGTTGGTTACTTTAGTGGGATTTGATCACATATCGTGTGCTCAGTATAACATAAATAAAATAAAAAATTACAGAGGAAGATTTCTGACTTTTATATTACTGTGTCTAGTGTGTATTCTTGTGTTTTTTTGTGAGCATGACCTTATTGCTTTGAAATACACATGTCCTTATGCCTTATGGTTTTTTGTATTTACATCCTTTTTTTGTCTCTTTGTTTACATATTTATTTTTTATTTCCGCTTTTTATTTTATTTAATTTAATTATTGTATATATGTCAGTTTATATGTCTCATCTTATCTGTTTATACCATCATGTAGGTGTACATCACAAAATGTAGGTGATTTTCCCATTTTCCCTTATAGGGTGTGTGTGAGGAACTGACTCTGCTGGGTTTCGAACCCTGGTTTACATGGTGCTAAACCTTTTCCTTACCAGTACACCAGCCTGCCTTTTGCAAATTTGCCTGAGATCTGATACTATTGCTTGTAGAGTCAAGGTTATCAGTGACAACTCACTTCAGCTGTGTCTGGTCAGGTGTCTGGTTCTTGGCCTATAAAAGCCACTTCCTGTCTCTGTACCTTTGCCAGATTATTGTGGTTCCTGTACTCTCTAATCCAGTGTGTTCCTGTTTCTCCTTCCTGTTGCTGAATTTGGACTGTTTTGACTTTGCTGCTTCTCCTTCCCACTGACCTCGGCTTGCCTCACTACGATTATCATCTTTCTGTTCCAGTCTCCCATCTCTGCTTAAGACCAGAAGGCCACTCAAGGCTCAGGGGCTCAACCACCTGGGTAACGAGTGGCTACCTCTGGCAGAAAACATTGCTGATCTGGCTACTGGACTCCAAAACATTGTAACATCAATATCATTACAGTGTGTTTAATTAACACTATAGGCACACAGAACATTTCAGCTCATAGCAGTGCCTTGGCAGTTTAAAGGACCACTATAGTGCCCTGAGGATTCCCCCACCCTCAGGGACCCCCTCCTGCCCGGCTCTGGAAAGGGGAAAGGGGTAAAAACTTTACCTTTTTACAGCACTGGACAGGGAGCTCTCCTCTTCCGATCCTCCTCCTCTCCGCCCATTTGGCTGAATGCGCACACGCGGCAAGAGCTGCGCGTGCATTCAGCCGGTCGCATAGGAAAGCATTTACAATGCTTTCCTATGGACTCTTGCGTGCTCTCACTGTGATTTCACAGTGAGAATCACGCAAGCGCCTCTAGCGGCTGTCAATGAGACAGCCACTAGAGGCTTTGGAGGAAGGATTAACCCATTTATAAACATAGCAGTTTCTCTGAAACTGCTATGTTTATAAAAAAAATGGGTTAACCCTAGCTGGACCTGGCACCCAGACCACTTCATTTAACATTGCAATTGTTATTATTGCAGTTATTGAGAAACTGCAATAATTAAATTGCAGGGTTAATTCCTCCTGTAGTTTATGTCTACCAGCCACTAGATGCGCTTCCTCAGTTGCTAGTCGACTTTTGGTCACTTGACAGACGCTGGACGTCCCCACGCTATGCATGAGGACATCTAGTGTCCGCTATAACTCCACAGGAAAACATGAATTCAATATTTTCCTATGGGGTTGTCCTAATGTAATTGCAGTGCCCGCTGCGCATGAGCGTTAGATACCTGACGTCGGCCGACATCGGAGGAGGAGGAGCAAAGGTGGAGCCTGACCCAGCGCCGAGAGACATCAACGCTGGAATCAGGTAAGTGAATTAACCCCTTAGTGACCAGACTGTTTTTACATTTCGTCTGCGTTTGTGCTTAGCTGTAATTTTCCTCCTACTCATTTACAGTACCCACACATATTATATACAGTTGTTCTCGTCATTAAATGGTATTTCTAAAGATACAATTATTTTCATCATATCATATAATTTACTTTTTTTTTTAATTATAAAATATGCTGAAAATTTTTTTAAAAAACTATTTTCCTAACTTTGACCCCCAAAATCTGTTACGCATCTACAACCTCCAAAAAACACCCGTAAATAGTTTCAAAATTTTGTCCTGAGTTTAGAAATACCTAATGTTAACATTGTGATGTTTTGCACAAATCAGTCAATAATTCCTGTATAATGAAGTACTCACTTTATTAATACATATATAACAGCATCTTCAGATTGCAGCCTTGTTACACAGGGTTTCTGCAGCCGCCATTTCAAATCCCTCGAACATTCCACCAACATCCAACAGGAACAGGAAGTAAAGAACCAAAAGAAAGGAAGTGCATCATTCACAACCAACAGCCCAACTGCCCATACATCACAATACATACACTCATACACTCACACACACATTCACAGCCCAACTGCCCATACATCACAATACATACACTCATACACTCACACACACATTCACAGCCCAACTGCCCATACATCACAATACATACACTCATACACTCACACACACATTCACAGCCCAACTGCCCATACATCACAATACATACACTCATACACTCACACACACATTCACAGCCCAACTGCCCATACATCACAATACATACACTCATACACTCACACACACATTCACAGCCCAACTGCCCATACATCACAATACATACACTCATGCACATTTTAGGGCTATAAGTACAAGTAGGACATTGTTGTTTCAAAATATTTATTTTTAAAATGTATCAATAGTGATATTCTAACACTGGTATCTGTCATAAATCTCTGAACAACTCATATGTACATATGTTTTTTAAAGTAGACAACCCAGGGTATTCAATATAGGGTATGTGCAGTCTTTTTTAGTAGCCGCTTAGTCACAAACACTGGTCAAAGTTAGCATTTATATTTGTTTGTGTGTTAAAAATGCAAAAAACAATTATGAAAACAAACTTTGGCCAGTGTTTGTGACTAAGTGGCTACTAAAAAAGACTGAACATACCCCATTTGCAATACCTTGGGTTGTATTCTTTTGCAAATGGTATGCCATCATGGGGGGTGATTCTCATTCTTGGGCTACCATACGCTCTCAAAGGCAACATAACCAATCTGCCAAATTTTAATGTGAAAAAAATGAAAATCAAGCCTTTTATTTGACCCTGTAACTTTCAAAAACACTATAAAACCTGTACACGGGGGGATACTGTTATACTCGGAAAACTTCGCTGAACACAAGTATTAGTGTTTCAAAACAGTAAAATGTATCACAACAATGATATCATCAGTAAAAATGACGTTTGTGTGTGATAAATGCAAAAAACGTCACTTTCACTGACAATATCATCTCTGTGATATGTTTTACTGTTTTGAAACACTAATATTTGTGTTCAGCAAAGTCTTCTGAGTAAAACAGTACCCCCCCCATGTACAGGTTTTAGGGTGTCATGGAAAGTTACAGGGTTTAATACAGTGCTAGCAAATTAAATTCTCTGGACTTTCGGCCTGGGTTGTCAGGCAGGTCCCTCAAATTGTAATTTATAAAATTACATAAATATGCACATAGAATTTAAATATACATATACATATTTATATATTTGAAGTCTACGTGTACATTTAGTATATTTATGAAATTATTTATGTTATTATGTATATGGATATATATATATATATATATATATATGTGTATATATATATATATATATATATATATGTGTATATATATATATGTATGTATATATATATATATATATATATATGTGTATATGTATATATATATATGTATGTATATGTGTATATGTATATATATATATATATATATATATATATATATATATATATAATTTTATTCAAAGTGTATTTTGATATAAATATATATAAATTTATATTAATATCAAAATACAGTTAGAATAAAATTATATATATATATATACATTTTTTTTAAAAACTTTTTATTTTTACATTTTTGTATTTATTCCTATTTACTTATTTATATAGTTTAATAATATATATACAATATATATAGTAGTTATAAATGATATATTTATATACATATGTCATTAAATTATAAGTGTATTTTTATATTAATATATGTAAATATTAATATAAAAATACACTTATACAAAAAAGGGTGCGCTGTGTCTGAAGAAGCCGATTCTGTGGCGAAACGTGTCGTCGTGTACGTCCAGTGGTAACGTCATCAGGCTCCGCCTCTAGGAAGTGTTTGCGGTATTGTGCTAGCCGGCAGCCTTACCGAACGGACTACGTTCCATAGAAGCACTGAGGGAGCTAGGTGACACCACTTTGATGATTTTTTTAAATTGTGAAGATTTGCCAAAATTAAAGATTCTTTTCTGACTTGCTGCCGTCTTGTGATCCTTGGCATAATGCATGTATAAAGCGGATACAGTTAGAGCAGACTCATCTGCTCTCCACTTGTGAGTGTAATCACATATAGTGTTACCATATTATATTTTTTTAATACTGTATTACACTATGTATTTCTTTTTGTTTTCCATACACATGCAAATATAATTCGGAGCAACTTGATCTATGGTATATACAGCTTGGCATTGTAAGTGCTCCGTTTATTGTATCCTTTTTTTTCACTATAGCACTGGTATACTAGTGGCATTTGCACTGTTGCACTTTTTTTGTACCTACACCAGTGTATGTAATATCAACACAACACTTATATGATAGAGGTTGTTAACTGGTATAAGCACCAGAGTGCTTTTAAAGGAATATTGCAATATTGTATTTTAAGTGTTTTAAGAGCTATTGCACTTTATAAGGGAGCTGCTTCTAAGGTATTAAGGTTTTTATATATATGTTCACGAATTTAGACGTGTGTTTAGCGCCAATTTTACTTGTTCTTTTTCTTTAGTATAAAAATACACTTAGTATGAATAGCCCAGACATTCCCCTTTCAGGAAATTAGGCCCTGGCTGCCCATGTGATCGCTCTGAAAGAGCGGTCACATGGCCGCAATAGGCGTCCATAGTGCTGCCTGCAGGGGGACTGCCTAAACTGACAGTCAGTCTCCCTGCATCTGTAAAATAAAAAATAAAACTGTTATTAAATCAAAATATAATTATATATATGTATATACACATATATTATCTCTGTATAATATATATCTATATATCTTATGTATATATAGATATATATTATGCAGAGATAATATATGTGTATAAATATATATACACATATATAATTATATTTTAATTTAATAACATTTTTTTATTTTTTATTTTATAGATGCAGGGAGACTGCCTGTAAGTTAAGCCAGTCCCCCTGCAGGCAGCACTATGGACGCCTATTGTGGCCGTGTGACTGCTCTTTCAGGGCCTTATTTCCCGAGGGGGGACTGTCTGGGCTGTCAGGCAATCGCACCAGACTGGAAGCAACACTGATCGCCAGCAGGAGAACGGCAGCAATTGGGTAAGTAATTAGGAATAAGGTCCTTAAGGACAGGTTTTTTTCTCGGACATACCTAGTATGTCCCCGGTCCTTAAGGAGTTAAGGGTTTCAACGCTGAGGGGAACACTCAAGTACTATAGTGCTAGGAATACAATTTTGTATTCCAAGCCTATAGCTTCCCTTTGAAGATATTGAATCAGAGTGGTTAATGACATGTAATCTCCCTGGTGCTAGGTTGCTTTTCATTTATCACACTATATGCGGAATGGGGATTTTCATTGATTTTGGTGAACTTGATAAAGTGTTGTAAAACACAAAATGAGGATAATACCAAGATCAGCCCTGCAGGAGGGAGCTTTTTACTGTATGGCTAATGTAATTTCCATTAGAAGATTATCGCTTAATACATATTTTTTTGAAGGAACGGGCAGTGAACAGAATCTTTGGTCACACAGCTTGCTATTGTTTGTTTGAAAATTAATTTGTATTGACCAATGATGGTTCACAGAATTGTGAGGTCATTACACTCTGTATTATTTCAAACTTCATTGGGGAGAGGAAGAATTTAATTATTACACTATATGGAAGAAGGTAACTGCACTCATTCATTTTTTTTCATTTGAAAAAGAAAAATAGCAGGGACATTCCCAACAGCAATAGAAGCAGTACAGAGTTGATAGTTGCTTTTCAGATGAAAAGTAGAATTGAAGCTAGCTCAGTCATATTGGGTCACTATTCAAAAAACAACAACAAGTAATCGTACTAATACAATATAATAGAAAACAAGTTTTGTGATATGGCTTACCTGTAGGTATTTCATTTGCAGAATATGAAATACAAAATTGTAAAAGCCACATATACACTGCTCAAAAAAATAAAGGGAACACTTAACACAATGTAACTCCAAGTCAATCACACTTCTGTGAAATTCAAAAGGAAGTAACACTGAGTAACAATCAATTTCACATGCTGTTGTGCAAATGGGATAGACAACAGGTGGAAATTATAGGCAATTAGCAAGAAACCCCCAATAAAGGAGTGGTTCTGCAGGTTGTGACCACAGACCACTTCTCAGTTCCTATGCTTCCTGGCTGATGTTTTGGTCACTTTTGAATGCTGGCAGTGCTTTCACTCTAGTGGTAGCATGAGACGGAGTCTACAACCCACACAATTGGCTCAGGTAGTGCAGCTCATCCAGGATGGCACATCAATGCGAGCTGTGGCAAGAAGGTTTGCTGTGTCTGTCAGCGTAGTGTCCAGAGCATAGAGGCGCTACCAGGAGACAGGCCAGTACATCAGGAGAAATGATTGCAGCAGGACCGCTACCTCTGCCTTTGTGCAATGAGGAACAGGAGGAGCACTGCCAGAGCCCTGAAAAATGACCTCTAGCAGGCCACAAATGTGCATGTGTCTGCTCAAACTGTCAGAAACAGACTCCGTGAGTGTGGTATGAGGGCCCGACGTCCACAGGTGGGGGTTGTGCTTACAGCCCAACACAGTGCAGGACGTTTGGCAGTTGCCAGAGAACACCAAGATTGGCAAATTCGCCACTGGCGCCCTGTGCTTTTCACAGATGAAAGCAGGTTCACACTGAGCACATGTGAGAGACGTGACAGAGTCTGGAGATGCCGTGGAGAACGTTCTACTGCCTGCAACATCCTCCAGCATGACCGGTTTGGCAGTGGGTCAGTAATGGTGTGGGGTGGCATTTCTTTGGGGGGCCACACAGCCGTCCATGTGCTCGCCAGAGATAGCCGGACTGCCATTAGTTACCGAGATGAGATCCTCAGACCCCTTGTGAGAGCATATGCTGGTGCGGTTGGCCCTGGATTCCTCCTAATGCAAGACAATGCTAGACCTCATGTGGCTGGAGTGTGTCAGCAGTTCCTGCAAGACGAAGGCATTGATGCTACGGACTGGCCCGCCCGTTCCCCAGACCTGAATCCAATTGAGCACATCTGGGACATCATGTCTTGCTCCATCCACCAATGTCACGTTGCACCACAGACTGTCCAGGAGTTGGCAGATGCTTTAGTCCAGGTCTGGGAGGAGATCACTCAGGAGACCATCCGCCACCTCATCAGGAGCATGCACAGTCGTTGTAGGGAGGTCATACAGGCACGTGGAGGCCACACACACTACTGAACCTCATTTTGACTTGTTTTAAGGACATTACATCAAAGTTGGATCAGCCTGTAGTGTGTTTCCAAATCCAGACCTCCGTGAGTTGAAAAATTTGATTTTAATTTTTGTGTGATTTTGTTGTCAGTACATTGAACTATGTAAAGAACAAAGTATTTCAGAAGAATATTTAATTAATTCAGATCTAGGATGTTATTTTTGTGTCCTCTTTATTTTTTGAATATATTACTCACATTTGATTGAGCAACTCTGTGCTCAATATAGAACACATGTAGCGTTACTATCCTTGTATAATTGTATCATGAATAATCCATTGGAAATTCTTGACAAAAATTCTTGAACACTTCGGTTGAAATTCTTGTAAGAGAATATTGTACATAAATATTCATTGGATATCAACACTAACCTATACAGAGATTGCACCACTGTTTTATTTTAATTATTTTTAAATTTGTATTATTCCAATAATTATTGGGTGAGGCAGCCTATCTTCACAAATACTAAAATCTTTTCATATGTGTTGAAATTCAGAGAGAGTTTTCTGCTCGGCAATCTCCGGTGTGCTTCTTCTTATAAAATTGTAAAATTATTCATGTAGCCTTTGTGTGGGGCTGGCTGAAGAATGGCCACGTAGCAATAAGATCATGTCATTACTAATTTTCTAGAAAAATGTACCAACTATATTTTGTAAAAAAAAGTCTATAGCTAAAATAACATGAAAATAAGAAAATGTTTTACTAAAAGAGGTGTTTCATCAGGAAGTATATAGTGAAATATGTCTCCTCTTAAATATATCTAGGGAATATATGTTATTATACAATACAATAGTTACTGATTTTTAGTTAAGTAATATATAAAAAATAAATTCATGAGTGGAACATCCACAACTTTTACATAACAGGCTACAATACATAATTAATATTGTTATCGTGTTTCCCACAGATAAAGTCTGAATAACAAAAAAACAAACAAAAAGTCTTTCAATTGATTTATATATTTTTACATGATAGCTGAACAGTTCAAGGAATACTTATTTGAAACTCTTGCAGGGTTAGTACAATTCTAATTAATTCATACAATACTCTTCCTGCATAGTTCATCACACACAACCAAACAAAGACTGCATTGCTTTGGAAATGAAAATGTATCCATGCATAAATTAGAGCATACCATTAGCTAAACCTATGCAAAAAGATCCACATGATTCACAGAAATAGATTTTGTTTAGATCGGTGTGCGCAACAGTATATTGACACCCTTTTGTTTTTGTTTTGTTTTTTACCTGATATGTTTAAACTTTTACAGAATAAACATAAACATGTCATAATCCTTACTATTCAAACTGATATGTATGTAGCATTAGCCACAAACTCTGTAGAGAATTGAAATATACTTGAAATATAGCTCATATGGGTTAATCTTAATTAGACAATGAACATGCTCAGCAAGTTGTCCTGTATATAATAATTTAATGGGCACATGTATTCAACTCTGTACTGTCTGATTGCTGATATCATCTATATTGTATTGTCCATAAAGAAATGCAATGTGGAGTTCCTTAAAAGGATACTACAGTGTAAGGAATACAAAGCTGTATTCTTTAATTCTTTACACAATACTTCCCTCTGCCCTTCAAGCTCCTCCCCCCACCCCCCACTCACCGAAATATAAGCACTGTAAGAGTTAAAAAAAATCCTTACTGTACTTACCCAATTCCAGCTTCGATGTCCCATGGCACTGGGTCAGTGCTCAACCCACGACAGGAGACTAACGCGCATGCCCGTCAAACACCACAAGCGCATTAGGCCCTCCCATAGGAAATTATTGCAGCAATGCTTTCCCATGGGGTTTCTCTGATGATGGATGCAGAGCATGAGGACGTCCTAAAGTCGCCTAGCAAGTTGGAAGTACCTCAAGTGGCTGTCTGCATGACTGACACTAGAGGCACTCTATTAAGATAACTGCTGACTATATAAGGTATTTTGCAGTTTAAAGGCCCAAATCCCAGCCCAGTTCCCAGTGTCACTTCCTCCCCACAAAAGATGTCCCCCCGGCATCCAGGGAAGGTACATCCTGAAGGAGCAACAACGAACAAGACAGAGAGAAAGAAAAAAAGGTGGGTAGGGAGCAAGAGGGCAAGGGCAGGGAGGGGAAGGAGGTAGGAACAAAAATCTAAATTCAATCAAGGGTACACCCCTATGGCAATCCCATAGGATCAACAATGCTCTAGCCCTGAGGAACAGCCTGTTTTACTGCCTAACTTACCAGAGTAATATAATATGCTGCTCCTGGTCTGCTTGATTGCCTCAATGACACATAAATGTTATTGTTCCTCAAAAATAAGGTTCAATGCAAGGCATGTTTTCAGTGTAGAGTAAATTGACCAGGAATTTATTTATTTAAACAATAAAAAATTAATAATACAGGTGATCATAAAAAAAAAAAACACTTTAACAGTACAGTACTAGCTATAGCCATAGCTAGTATTAAGGGAGCTTGGGATAAAATGGCAAGTCCATGTGAGTGTTTCAGAAGTATGTTTGTAGAGTGGACACTGTTCGTGAAAAGGTTTCAGTGGCGACTGAGTTGTCTCGCAGTCTGGATCTCTGCAGGTCATCTACTATAATCCGTGTGTGAAATCAGCCTTCTACTGCTGGATTCATCACAGCATTTCTGGAGGGCCTTTGAGATCTTGCCAGGAAGGAAAGTCAGGACTAAAAGTTGGGAGATCACTTTTGGTCCTGACTTTCCGTCCTGGCAAGATCTCAAAGGCCCTCCAGAAATGTTTGTGGTGAATCCAGGTGGCCTCTGAGGGGGATGATTAATGGTTATGTCTAGTGCCAGAAAACCAGCTGTTCAGCAAAACATTGTATTTCAGATACCCTTTATAGGGTAAACATTTGTTTGTTTTTGGCACACTGACAATTTGGGTGTCCCTATGAATAGTGTAGTCCGTGTTGTGTAAGGAACTGAGTTAGCTGTTGCAGCTCCTTATGTTTGTGTAATGTGCTGAGTGCCAGATTGTTACAGAACTAGATGGGATGCCAATCTACTTGGATCAGTGAGTCTCTAGCCGCTCTCATTAGAGCTTCATTCACATGAAAGTAATGAAGCCGGACTAGGACATCCCATGGCTGTGAGGTGGACACTGTTGGATTGCAATGTGCTCTATGCGCCCAGTCAATTAAAAGCTCTGCAAGCAGTGTGTCAGGTAACAAGCCACAAAAAGTTTCCTGCAGTTTGGATGAGAGGATGTCTAGTGACACAGACTCGGGGAGCCCCCGGGATCTAAATGTTTTTCCTTTTGTGTTCTATTGTTTAGATCCTCTTGTGCCTCTTCCAATAGTTGGAGTTATTGTTTTAACGCCTGGATTACTTGGTTTTGCGCGTTGGTCCTGACAGTAACTGTATCCATCTTGTATTCCATGTCTCGTCTGCATCATGTGTCAGGCACTCTTTTTCATCTCCACAAAAAGGCCAAATAAAAATCCCTTAAGTCCCATTGCTATTAAAATTAAAATTCAGACACAATCCACTTGTTGCTTGCTGGACATGCACCCACCGAACCTCCCTTGTACTATTATAGGGGTCATTTTGACCACTTAGGCTTTTATTTTTTTTTATTTTTTCATGACTAAAGAGTTAGTCATAAAAAATAAAACAAAAAAAATTATGTGCTTCAGAAGCACATTTATCATAGTATTTTTTCTCGAATAGCTGAACCATTTATTAGGCTTGGCTGCTAGAATTTCATCTGGCAGAAAATGTTGTTACAATTTGTTAAACATATTAGACAAAATCAGTCAATGTTCGACTGGGTTTTACTGATAATATTAAATCAAGGCCATAGATAGCACAGCCTTTTTAAATTATCAAAATTTGTTTCAAATTATTTGCCTACAGAATTCATCATGCAAAAAAGTTTTGATAAACCATTTAAAACATTTTTCTTCTAACCGATTGTGATCATTTAAAAAGTTTATCCAAAAATATTAAATTGAGACCAGCATTAGAAGATTTCACAAAAAAAGCATGCCCTCCCACTCACACAGAAAACCTCTATAATGTTTTTCAACATGACGAGGCAAATAAACATTGCCATGTAACATTTGACCATATTTTTCTTGCTAATTACAGCCATACTGCCCTAATGTTATCTGTGAATTACATACTGCCTGATAATACTGTGATTTCCCATTTGAAGATACTGTTAGTCTATTAATTAGGTATTATGATATCATATGCCGGTAATGGGCATAGACTCGGGGAGCCCACGGATCTGAATGTTGTTCCTTCTCTGCCCGACTCCTCTCCCGCGATGTGTGTGACACTGATAGTTGCATTGTGTAATTTATATAAACCACCTCACGCCTAAAGTAATGTGTATACACTATACAAATTACTTTAGGCATGAGGTGGATTTTAAAAATTATGCAACGTAAATATCAATGTCACACACAGTGCAGAGGTGAGGTATGTAGGAAAGGAGGAGTGAGGCTATCTAGGACCAATTAAAGCATTCGGGGAGTGCTAATGGTCCATGAGTTAGGGGTACAATATTTCCCTTGCCCAAGGTGGGCTCTGGCAACCAACGCCACGCCACTGTGACTGGGGAATCATGCTTTTCTCTTCTCCCTCCTAGATGTGTCCACCTCATCCTCCCATGGTTTCTTTATCATTGGTCAAGGAAATATTCTATAGCTAATTGTGTAGAGCCAAGTATTGTAGAAGGAGGCTATTTGAGGTTAAGCACTGAGGATACACGTGGTGTTGGATCAGCTGCTGTTGAGTCAGGTGAAGCAATTGGAGAGAAATTCAGTTTTTACAGTTGTAGTTCTTGTGACTTTTGATGGCTGTAGTATTCCCTCAATGTGCTGTTGGAAATACCATCTAGCTGCTTGTGCATGGTTAGAAGCCTGTTTCTCAATTTGCCGCCAGGGGTCGTCTGACATCCATCACAATCCAAAAAATGAATGTCCAATAGCTAAATCTTCCTCTGGTATGAAACATTGCTCCCTTAGGGAACGTTGTTACTTTGTAGAATACATATATTCTCAGCATTGTAATATATAGAAGGAAATGTATTGAATATACACTTTCCATACAATACATTGATGCACTCATATCATATATTGAGACATTGATCAAGGCAATTGGCATTTAGCACTCTGAGCCAGGAATAGCAGTTGCATTGCCTTGATGAATCTCCCCCATAATCCCACTCTTTTTAGAAACATAGAATGTGACGGCAGATAAGAACCATTTGGCCCATCTAGTCTGCCCAATATTCTAAATACTTTCATTAGTCCCTGGCCTTATGTTATATTATTATTATTATTATTATTATTTTATTATTTATATAGCGCCAACAAATTCCGTAGCGCTGTACAATGGGTGGACTAACAGACGCATAATTGAGATCAGACCACTGACGTACAGGAACAGAGGGGGTTGAGGGCCCTGCTCGATGAGCTTACATGCTAGAGGGAGTGGGGTATAGTGACACAAAGGGTTAAAGTAGGGGAATTAAATATATCTAGGATAGCCTTATGCCTATCACATGTGCAACATTAGATAAGAAATGATAGAAATGTGTTGTTGCCTTCCTCTTTTGATGAAAAATAACACTGTTTACTTTCTGAAATATTAAAAGATAATTCTATGTAGTAGTTTAATCATTTGTTTAACATGCCTTTTACACCATAGGAAGGTATAGCAATTTGTTTATGATAGAAATGAGCAACCAAAGAATTTTACTTTGATGTAATAAATCTTGAAACAGCAGTGCATTCATGTTTCAAAACTACTTAACTGTAAAGTGTTGAGAAAAGAGGATTAATCAAAACAGAATATACACTCCATTACACATTCAATACGTTTGAATTTAAGTATGTGAGAATTTGTTCGATTTATATGTATTTGAAGGGTCAATGGTGCCACCTTTAATCTGAAACATATAGCAGGTTTTCTTAAGGACACAAACATCAAAATACATCAATAGCAAGCTGCTTGAATTAGACGTCGCAGGTTTGGATATCCACAAAATCATTTTTTTGAGTTTCATCACTTAGTTTCTAATTATTCAGACTAAATACTGTGATCTGGTATGAAGTATATTGCCACATGTGGTGTTTGAAATGGAAAATCTGTGGGCGTTCCATTATCTGACCAGCTGGCTTCTCTTGAAACTCATAATGTATGGTAAACATAATAAAATACACAGAAAACCTATTTTCATCATACCTACCACAAATGTCATTAGTCTAATATTATCATTACCTTTTGTGTCACTTTACCCCATTCCCTACAGCATGTAAGCTCATGGAGTAGGGCCCTCAACCCCTTTGTTCCTGTGTGTCCAAATTGTCTGGTTACAACTACATGTTTTTCGTCCACTCTCTGTAAAGCGTTGCGGAATCTGTTGGCGCTATATAAATAATAACATCATAATAATTATAATATTAAATGGAAAGGCTGTAAGCCAGGAATTGTTGGAGAGATTTACCAGCCTATTTATAGTCACATGGTTGACGGTAGGGTGCCATCAAACGGTCTCGATGACCTCTGCTATAAACACACACTCACATGCACATTGGTTCCTGAGGGCACCTCAATGTGCTTCTCTGACAAACACCTTCTCATCTCCTCTAGATGTTACTTCATCAGAAATGTTTCTCTATCAAAGCAAAGGGGCTTAATTCTCCCAATAAAAACCTCTCTCTTCTCCTTTGGGTTCACAGGACGCAAGCAGACATAGTATTAATTCAAGGAACTCACTTTACAATATCCAGGCATTTCCCACTAACAAATAGATACTATAAATACAGCTTATCGTCAAACTCACCAGACACTAAATCCAAGGTGAAGCAATTCTCATGAAAATATCCTGCCCCTTAATTAATATTTCTGCTATAACAGACCATCGTGGGCAATATATCACTATAATTGGTAACATAGGACAGACCAAATATGCCTTTTGCTCCTTATCTGCACCTGCTACACCTGACCATGCATTCAGGGGCTCTGTATCCACTCACTTAACCTCTCTATTAGTTAATCACACTATATTAGGTAGTGACTGACGCAGTACACTCTTCTGTCTTAGACAGGAGCAATTTGGAAAGTGAGAGACCATGGTAATCACAGGGTGACCTATTATTCTCTCAATTCCTGTCCATAATCCATCTACTTGGAATAGCACTTTTCACTCTCACCCACAGATTGTATTCCCGAATAGGTTATTTTTAATCTCACCTGACCCTAATTACATGGATCAAACAATCTCTTGGTTGAATCACTCAGACATTTCAATTATCCATACAATCCCTGAAATGAATGCCCCTGGACCTGGAGAATGAATCCCCTCCATTACATGATAAACTGGTGACCAGTTTACTATATAAAGCATACACAAATCTAAACAAGTGGAGGGACCTGTGTATCTCTTGGTTGGGTTGCATCACCTGCATTTAGATGATCCTAGTCCCTAGATTTTAATATATCTTTCAAACATTGCCAATACCAGTCTGCAGATCTGACCTTAAAACACTCCAAGCAGTAGTAAATATATTTATATGGAATGTACGATGGCCAAGAATATGCAGAAATATGTTATGCGTACCATAGAGATCAGGTGGTGTGGGACGATCAAATTTCACTCATTATTTATATGCTATGTATTTAGTTCAAATACAAAATCTATAACCTCTCCACAACAGGAGTTTTAGAAACTAAACTAAAGTCTCCTGTTGCAGAGGTATCAACAATATACTCTTATTAATAGGCTGTAACATATAAAACCATTCATATTAAGGTTTAATTTTCCTTAGAGCACACTTTGTCATTGTAAATAATTCCAAAGTTCTAAACTTCTGTAAATTCTGCAACTATTTGCTAATTATATAAATATAAATTTTGATAACCAACAAGATTCTTGTCTGTGTAATCCTGTATCAGTATTCCGCAATAGAAATACCAAAATTTGTTTCAGCTACAGGTGGATACATTTTGGACAATGCGTTACTGTAATTCTTTCAAATTGGGACATAATGTGTCAGTATATACACTTGCTTGGGATGATTATTATCGTCTATGAGTGAAAGCCGAATATTTGCACACTCTAGTGTTAAAACATTGAACCCTTGAGGTTCCTAAATCACTGTACATTCAAAGATTAATAGTTATTCTCTCAATTTAGATACTACCCAATCAAGGTAGACTTAGACACACTTGATTGGTGCTGTGCATTACCAAATGGGCCAATGATAGACTACTTCTACATCTTTTTAAACCAGACACTGTCGGCAGGTCCGTTTCCTCTCTGATGAGCCAGAGTGGTGAAACACGCATCAGGGATTCTGACATGCACTATTCCCAGCCACTTTATCAGGAGTGAGCCTTATTTTATCCTTGAGTGAAGGCAAACAATTCAGATCATCAGAAAGTTCAGGGCTTTTTTATGAGCAATCTTTCCTCTTAGGACTATACAAGGAAAGGTAGGGGGGAGGTATTCTTCTACAAACACATAGGGGCTTAGGCTTTTTGGGTTAAGGGGTGTCCTTGAATGAACAGTCCTATTATAGGCAATCCCTTTTATTAGAGTGAACCTATATTATTAGACATGTGCAATTTGTTTCGTTCCGAATGTGAATTCAGACGAATTTTGGGCAATTTGCACATTCAGATGCTTCCAAATGTCCGAGGTGCTGAAGTGGTGAATTGCTGTATTTCCGAAATGTTGAAGTGCTGAATTTCAGAAGTGCCGAACCGAATTGCCAAAGTGACGAATTTCGGAAGTGCCAAAGTGCTTTGGATTTCTGAAAAGTGGCAAAACAAGAGAGGGAGGGAAAATTATGTGAATGATGACAGGGGTAGGGTTAGGGGAAGTGTTAGGGATATGTTTAGGGTTAGGAAGCCCTACAGATAATCCGAATTCCGAAGTCTTGAATTGCCAAAGTACTGAATTCCTGAAGTCCCGAATTGCTAAAGTTCAGAATTGCCAAAGTCCTGAATTTCGGCAGTGCCGAACCGAACCAAATTGCCAAATTGCTGAATTTGTTTTCTTACCCAAATTTCCAAACCAAATCAAATTTTTTTGCCCATGTACATCCCTATATTGTATGTTATCACATATACCCAGGCCAGCCTCAGTCTTATACACTATTGCTACACACTTTGTCACAATGTTCCGGTAGCATATGATTTGAGATAACTTAACCTATCTCCCACCACTAGGTAGTTTGGGCACATGGTATTTGCACTAGATTGTAGCCGCAAATGCTCACAGGTTAATGTCCATCCAGAGGATTGTCCTTATCGTAGAGACCAAGTGGTTTAAATGTGTTATCGTGATACAGTCTGACTCTCGAGGGATAACTAACATCCTTGTTATCTTGAGCGATTTTATATTGCAACAAAGGCACTGTTTAGTTAATTATACCCCATTTCAGGCTCTTACTGTATCTACACTTGTTCTCTACTTGTTCTTATTAGGTATATAGTTTTGTTTTCTTTTTTGGTGATTAGGACAAGGATACTGTATTTAACGCATATATTAAAGGTTAAGTTCTATTCTACTAAGCCTTTTACAGGCTTTAAAGGACCACTCTAGGCACCCAGACCACTTCAGCTTAATGAAGTGGTCTGGGTGCCAGGTCCTTCTAGGCTTAACCCATTTTTTCATAATTATAGCAGTTTCAGAGAAACTGCTATAATTATGAATGGGTTAAGCCTTCCCCCTAATCCTCTAGTGGCTGTCTCATTGACAGCCACTAGAGGCGCTTGCGTGCTTCTCACTGTGATTTTCACAGTGAGAGCACGCGCGTCCATAGGAAAGCATTGTAAATGCTTTCCTATGCGACGGGCTGAATGCGCGCGCAGCTCTTGCCGCGCGTGCGCATTCAGCCGGCGGGATCGGAGGCGGAGAGGAGGAGGAGAGCTCTCCGCCCAGCGCTGGAAAAAGGTAAGTTTTACCCCTTTCCCCTTCCAGAGCCGGGCGGGAGGGGGTCCCTGAGGGTGGGGGCACCCTCAGGGCACTATAGTGCCAGGAAAACGAGTATGTTTTCCTGGCACTATAGTGGTCCTTTAACTTTGTAGGGGATTTTCCATATCACTACCCTATTCCTTTTAAGTCCCCTTGGTGCTTCCACTCCCTAAATACAGTAAATACATTCCATTTTTTTGCTCTCCTGTTAGTCTCTTCTCAACTAACATCCCTCATCGACCATACAACTGTAGACTCCCCTATTGGATAGATGTTAAAACTTTCCTCTTTAAATCCTTTTTATACTTTTCTATACTGATAACACCAAATTGGTACATCTAGAAATACTTAAAATAATATCTAGTGTGATCCAAAACAGCAGCCAGGAACTGGGGACTCAGATCCAAGATACAAGAAAACTGTAAAATGGCTATTGTATGACTCATGTTATTATTCATTCTCGATCTCAGTGTACATTTAGAACAGATGTATCTTTCGGTCAAAAAATTGATTGAATTTCTAAAATGTCAATTTAAAATGAAAAAAAAAATAAAGAATTAAAAAAATTAAGGTTTCAGATTCCATATATAAACCAATATATTTCTGCTCCTCTTAAGCATTCAACTGCGGGAATTAGCGGTTAATCGGCTTATTAGGAACAGAAACGTTGCTGATACACGTGATCACACTGATATGTAATCAAGGCTCTCTTCTCCATTATTTTCCTCTTTCCAACTTCACTTGCTCTAAGTAAATCACATTCTTGTAACGTGTTACAAGTAACTAGAATATTGCGATCCTCCAACCCCTATCTTTTATCTGTTCCAAGCCATACATAAACAAACATTTCTACTATTTTAAATACAAACAAGGAAGTTACATAAATCCATTCACATTCTACAGAACTTTACAAATCTATTCCTCAAGACCCCAGTCAAACTGGGTTTCTGGGATTATTCTTTGCACTGCTTATTAAATGGAAAATGACGTGAGAAACCAACTCTGCTTGGATTCTAAACCCAGATTGATTTGACTGCACTATACAAAGGCAAAGGTAACAATTCATTACATTGGGATGGATATATAGTAGCTGATGTTAGTCACCTGAAGTTCTGGGGGAATTCCAGGATATCCCTTTTCTCCTTTTATTCCCACGTTACCTCGCTCCCCCCGCGGCCCCATATCTCCTCTGTCTCCCTTTTCACCCTTGGTTCCATCTTGACCTGTAGCTCCATTATTTCCATTATTGCCATGATTTCCTGAAAATTAAAGGAATGTTTTATTATTTTGTATGGATTATTTTTTAGTTTGGTCATGATAGATGAGGAACGCAATATATACATTAGAATATTGTTTATTATTATGTTCATGAAAAACAGGAAAAATGTTATTAAATGATATTTATAGGGACACATTTCACATTTTTCCAAATGATCCACTAGATATCAGATTAGAGAACTGATGAAGATATCCTCCTTCACATTTTCAGCCACAATGTTCCTCTTTAAGCATTCCATATTTATCCACAATAATTTATAAAAGATACCAAATACATTTTTTATTACAAGCACGCCACTGAAATATAGAAATGCTTTAACATTAAAGGACACTTCAGTTATTCTCCCGGAACCAATATGTCTTAAGAGCATTTGATAGATTTTGGCCTCATAATCATGCTGTGGTTTTCTTTACATTCAAATCTCATTTGTTTTGCTTAAAGTATTTTTTTTTTTTTATCTTTCTGCCGTATAACATGTTAATTTTATCAACATCATTGTGGTGTGGAAAATATGTATGACAATGTTTCATTTAAAACTTTGTAGCAGTCCCACAATATTCAATATGACTAACAGTTTAACAAAGATTTAAAAAATTTTTAAATTGTAAGTAGGATTTTAAAAAAAATAAATGAAAAACAATTTCAAATAAAGACCTCTCTTTGCTTCAAGATTTTACTAATAACCGTTCCCGAGGTTTTTTTTTCAAAATTAGAGGAACAGTTTAATTTTAGGAATAAGAACATGTGTTCTTAATGTTATACTGATCTAAGGGCTATTTAGATTTGCCCCTTGCCCCCCCACCCAAAAAAAAATAAATGAAAAAATAAACCATTACTCACTTTCTATTCCCTGGCTCACCGCCACTGCTTCTTCCCTGGCTGAGATCATCATTATTGATAATCTCAGCTAATCCAAAGCTTCCCTTTCGGGAAGCATTGGGAGGCTAGTGTACATGGGCAGCAATCGTCGCTCTGCACCAATCAGAATCTCTTCATAGAAATGCATTGACTGACTGGAAGAGTTCAGTGTCTCAATGCCGAGCACGGAGACAGCAAACATTGATTCTCCAAAGATTGAAGGACAGCACCAGGAAGCTCCTCCAGTGCTTCTCTGAGTCACAGCCACTAGAAGTGGCATTAGGCAGGAATGTAAAGTTAGTCTTTTCTCAGAGAAGGCAATGTTTACACTGCAAAAACTACAAGAAGACCGTTAGCTGTAGTGGCTCTGGTGCATAGAGTGTCCCTTTAACCCCTTAAGGACACATGACATATGTGACATGTCATGATTCCCTTTTATTCCAGAAGTTTGGTCCTTAATGGGTTAATTGTGTTCATGAGCTGATTAATATATACGTGGAGCTCTACGTTAATATTTTTAGAAATAAACATTTTGGAAATTAAAAATCATAATACATCTAAATCTATGATTTCTTACTCAATTCACTAAATGATGAAACAAAAATGTACATACAGGACAATAAAGAAAAGTACACACCACATACAAGTAGATATAGATTTAAAAAATTACTTTTTTGTAATTTTCATTGGAGTGCTGCTGAGAACTCTGGAATTATACAGCTGTATAGACAGGCAGACAGAAATATCAGTAGATACAACACACAAACAAGAAAGGATAACAAGAGTTACAAGAATTTAAAAAAATGCAATAATATGTTAAAATGGAATTCTGAGAAAAGTGTTTGATGCCATATTTTTTAAGCACATACACAAGTGATTATTATAAAAACAAAACCATCACTTGCCATCTAGTCCAAAACTCACTTGCCCCAATTCTACAACTTTGCCACAACTCAACCACAGCCTAAAAATCCAGAACTGCGATGCTCATACCTGGTTATACCACACTGCTCCATGTCATTCCACACACCATAAACAAAGATTTCAGCTAAATTAACCCATGAATAACCCATCACTACACTTAAAAATTACACAAAGCCAGACCTGTTTGAACTCTAGGCAGAATACATAGCATTTCTTAATGACCTATACATCAAAACTTCCATTTCAGGAATACTGCTCCAGCTTGAACAGGAATTTGCTCAAACAAAAACCCTAAACAACAAGTCTCGCTCTGACCCAATTTCTTTCGAACTTTAAGGCAATTAGCAATCCAGATACACAAATATTCATTGAAATTAGTAACTTTCAGTTTGTACTGTAACATTTTTATAGTAATCATATCAAATACCTTAACAACATCCAAGTAATTCACATCCACTACAACACCCTGATCTATACATCTTCTGACCTTTTATTACAATTATTTCAGTAATCAGCATTCCTTCTCGGGAAGCAACATTTTTGCAAATTAATTACATGTCTAATAGCTTAGGAAATCCATACTTCATATATACATTAGCAGCCCAAAATAATGAAACTATTCCAACAAAAATGTATTCTCGCTGTCCTTTAGATTGTAAGCTCATTTGGCTGGGCCCTCTTTAACTGTTCCCATATGTCTTACATGTTTTGTTAGAATTTAATGTTTGTCTTGTTTACCTATTGTACAATGCTACAGACTGTGTTGGTGCTATAAAAATAATTGGAATTGGAATTGTTCTAATTGGATTTATTGCACAAAATCATATCATATGAAACACTAACCCACACATTCATTTCAACTAAGGAAGCCATAAATTCTTAAACTCAAGAACATCGATTTGCATTAATTTCCATTTTGCATACATAACATAATTATACTCTTTGTCAACAATGAAAACATTTGAAAGACAAAAGAAATTACAATATATTGAGATAAATCACTGTAATGCTCATTATCACATTGCAATTGAATGTTAGTAACACTTGTATATGGAGCTTAAAAATTCTATGATGTATTTTCTATGTATTGGACTAATTAGCCATTAGCCAATTAATATATTTTAATTGGTTTGTTGTGAAACCTTGAGGGGCCTCATAACAATGCATTATTACTGATAATACATTACCAAAAGAGATCTTAGAATTTGTATAATTTGGGCTAAATGTCAGCATTTTCTTATATAGCAACAATAAAAAAGGAAACTAGTTTAATCAGGGAGTTTGTTTCGTTGAGTGTAGTGAATTTTATATGTCAAAATTGGTCAACAGTTCAATAGAAAATAAATTTGTTTTGTGAAACTCCAATAAATCTGTTCGAAAATTTTAATGAATCATTGCGATAATTTAATTTAAGTGGAAAATGCAGTAAAACACAGTCTACTAAAATTCCATTTATTTGAAAGTGATCTTATTGTCTCCAGTAACTCATTCATTAGTGCAAGCAATGTGTGAAACTGTATCTAGTAACAGCATAATAATAATCTCTGTGTACTTGTGAGAGAGCAATAAGCTGCCAAGAATCTTTATAATAGTTTTGGTGACGGGAATCTCTGTAGTGAGATATTAGTTAAACGCTGAATTCTGACATACACTTAAAGCGATAATGGCCTAATTTTTCTTTCATATAAGATTTTTTGATAAAATAGTTGTGTATATATACTGTGAGGACAAACTGGATATATTTATGGAGGGAAAATGTGCCCTACTAGATTTTGTACAAGTAGTATTGTGTTAGAATGTTTTCAAAGGATTCCATTGATAGTTATCAAAAAAATCCATCCATATATGTGAAGCAAGGAAATTGCAAGAATGAGAAATACGAAAAATGCCAGCACCATACCAGTCATTCTGATTATGCACAAACAAAACATACAACAATATTTTAAAAATTGTGATGCCATATTTCAAAGAAAATACAAAAGTGAGTATTATAAAAACAAAACCATCACTTGCCATCTATTCCAAAACTAACTTGGCCCAATTCAACAACTTTGCCACAATTCTCAGCCACAGCCTAAAAAGACAGAGCTGCGATCCAGAGCTGCGATGCTGATGCCAGGTTATACCACACTGCTCCATGTCATGCCAAACATGGTTTGTCTGGCACTCTCTTTCCTTTAGGGGGTTAAACCGCTCTCACATCATTTAAACCCAAAGGCTTCCTCCAGCTCCAGATCTCCAGGTTGCTCAGTGGCATTCGGCTTCTAAAATAGAGTGTCAGGAAGTGCAGATTGACGTCAGGCATGGGTGCTGCAGATTGGCCAGAGTGGTCAGCTGATGCTCTAAGCCAATCGCTAGTTCCCGGTTCATAAAAATGTTTTACTTTTTTATGAATGGGGATCTAGTGATTGGCTTAGAGTGCCAGCTGACCGCTCTAGCCAATCAGCAATACCGCTGCCCAGCGGCACTCTGTGCTTCCTGACACTCAGTAAATAAAAGTGAACACATTAACACTGATATTTTTTTACCTGGGGAGATGAGAAGGTCCAAGATTTTCCTTCCAGGCCCAGGGACCAAAGCCTTATGATGTGGTTTCCAGAATGAAGTGAAGGATCACTTCACTTGTCCTCCCTGCTCCAATCTTCTTTTCTTCTCCTTCATTTGGCACAGTCTTCTTTTTATTCTGACACTGTCTTTTCTTCTCCTTGGCTCCTTCTGCTCCTTTACCTTTCAGCTTCTTTTGCGCCCTTCTGCTCCTTTCTCTTTCTGATGCTTTTTTGCTCCTGATGACCCTTCCTGCTCCTTGCTGACCCTCCCTGCTACTTGCAGACCCATCGTGCTCATTTCTCATCCTTTCTGCTCCTTCTACTTAACCTTTGTGCTCCTTCTTCCCCTTTCCGCTCCTTGCTTCCCCTTCCTGCTGCCCCTTCCTGCTACTTGCAGACCCTTCCTGCACATTTCTACACCATATTATACACCATAGTTAACATCTATGCCCCTAATGCCAACCAGAGCAACTTTCTTCACCATATCCTTAATAAACTGTCTAAAATCCAACAGGGAGTGACAGTCCTATGTGGCGACTTCAACCATGTACTAGACGCAAACTTGACACAACGCTCTTATATAAGAGCGTACGATACAAACCCCTTAAACACCAATGCAATTGCTTACAAAAATTGCTTCCTACCTTCCATCTATATTATGTGTGGAGGATCCACCATGTAAATGACTGAACATACACAAACTACTCAGCAGTACATTACACGTATGCTCGCATAGATAACTTTCTCATGTCAGGAACGTCGCTTAACCAAGTGACTGGATGCTCTATCGATCGGATCTCCTGATCTGATCACGCACTGATCATATCGCAGACTAATACAAATTTAAACACTGCAGCCCGTGGAGAATTTACTTCACCATACTGTGTCACCCAACCTTTGCGGGAGAACTCTATAGAGCAATACTTTGTTGAAAACAGCACACCCGGTGTAACGGTAGTCGCCATCACTGGGGATGTAAGAAGGACATATGTATGGCCCCTGATTCCTCTTGTGGTTTGGTCACCCTGTGCCCATTATTGGTGCAGGGTATGTTGAATGTAATGATTGTCTGCGCCTTTCCCCGTCCCCCTTTTTCCTGTCCTATTGTTTCCCCAGCTGGGCGTTGTCCCATTGTCCCAGGGACACTGCCAGACCAGTTTAAACTAGCTATCTTTTCCCTCCTCAATCTCCCATAAGCCCTTGCTATTGTCTGGCCCCACCCTTCCAAGTACTTTAGTGTTCTATTTACCTTATTGTATGTAAATGAGGCTGTTGGGGGAATAAATGTGTGCCATGTGTATTAAAGTTAGTTGTTGGTTTAACCTTCACCAAGTATCATCTGGTGTTTGGGAAAAGAGCTCTGATAACTGCTCTGCTGATGGAAAATGTGTCCAGGACTATAATCCTAGTAGCCTGATCCAGGATAAATGGAAACTCTTCAAACTAATATTAGAAAGGTACATGTTTCAGTATGTACCATTTGGTAATAAATATAAAAGAAACAAATTGAAATCAATGTGGCTTAGTAGAGAATTAAAACAAGAGATTTTAAATAAGAAAAGGGCATTAAAAGCATTTAAATCTGACAAATCAGAGGTATCCTATAGAAGATATAAGGAAGCCAATAATGCTTGCAAAAAGGCAATTAAAGTGGCTAAACTAGAAAATGAGAAATTGATAGCCAAAGAATGCAAAACCAACCCCCCTAATTTTTTCAAGTGCATCAATTCTAAAAACAAACAAACATGAAAGTATAGGTACACTGGAAACAGAGATGGGTCTGTTAGTTAATGAAGACTAGGAAAAATCAGGCATTTTAAATAACTATTTTTCTTCAGTATATATTAATAAGGATCCTATGGCAAGATATATGCAAATGATTGCTGCAAAAAAATTGCAGATAACGTGTGATTGGATGACTCGAGACAAGGTGCTACAGCAGTTAAAGAAAATGAATGTAAATAAAGCTCCGGGGCCTGACGGTATTCACTCACGAGTACTTAAGGAGCTAAGTAGGGAAATAAGATAACCTCTGTATTAAATCTTTCAAGATTCTTTTGTTTCAGGAGTTGTACCGAAGGATTGGAGGAAAGAAGATGTGGATCCTATATTTAAAAAGGGTTCAAAATCCTTGCCTGGAAATTATACACCTGTGAGCTTAACTTCTGTGACTGGGAAAATAGTTGAAGGGTTAATATTCAGGAATTCATTGGGAAGAACGTTGTTATTAGCAATAATCAGCATTATTTTATGAAATATAGGTCATGTCAAACTAACCTAATTGCATTCTATAAACAAGTAAGTAGAAGTATAGATCAGGGTGTTGCAGTGGATGTGATACTGTTCCTCACAATAGGTTAGTTTTCAAACTAAAAGAAATTGGTGTAGATGAATATTCTTGTTGTTGGGTAGAACATTGGCTTAAGGATAGAGTACAACAAATTGTCATTAATGGTAAATTTTTAAGCTGGACAAAAGTGGTAAGTGGTGTCCCTCGGGGTTCTGTTTTGGGACCGCTTCTATTTAACATTTTTATAAATGATCTTGCAATAGGCATTGAAAGCCATATTTTAGTTTTTGCAGATGACTCAAAACATTGTAAAGTAATAAAATGTGAACAGGATATTGCTTTGCTGCAGAGGGATTTAGATAGGTTGGGGGACTGGGCACTAAAGATTAAATTTAATGTAGAGAAATGCAAAGCTATGCACTTTGGGGTCAAGAATACACAAGCAATTTACACCCTAAATGGTAGTGAATTAGGAATAACCACACACGAGAAGGATTTGGGAATTGTTATATACAACAAATTAGGCAGCAATATGCAATGTCAATCTGCAGTTGCTAAGGCCAGTAAGGTTTTGTAATGTATAAATAAGGGCATAAATTATCGGGATTAAAATATAATTTTGCCTTTTTATAAATAACTGGTAAGACCACACATTGAATATGCTGTGCAATTTTGGGAAGCTGTTCTAAAGAAGGATATTATGGCACTAAAATAAGTGCAGAGACAAGCTACAAAATTGATAAAAGGAATGGAGCATTTTAGTTACGAAGAAAGGTTAAATAATTTAAATCTCTTTAGTTTTGAAAAACGGCGTCTCAGAGGAGATATGATAATATTATACAAATATATTTGGGGCCAGTACAAACCATTATCTGGAAATCTATTCATAAACAGGGCTATACATACACAAGGTCACGCATTTAGGCTGGAAGAAAGGAGATTTTATCTAACAGTAAGATCTATAAGGATATGGAATTCTCTGCTTGAAGAGGTGGTTTTATCAGAGTCCATACAGATATTTAAACAGCAATTGGATAAATACTTCCAAAAACATAACATACAGGGATATAATTCCTAATTAGTGGGGTTATAGCTGCTTGATCCAAGGGGATATCTGACTGCCATTTTGGGATCAAGAAGGAATTTTTCTTGCTTGTTGCAAAATTGGAAGCTCTTCAGACTTGTTTTTTTTTGCCTTCTTTTGGATCAACAGCAAAAACATATGTGAGGAAGGCTGAAATTGATGGACGCAAGTCTCTTTTCAGCTATTTAACTATGTAACTATGTAAGGTCCTTAAAGATCACAGTCAAGCCTCGGCCATGTTTTCACCATGTTTTAAACGTAGGGTTTCTAAGGGACCCATTTACAATTTCCAAAGGATCAAGGCAGGGGTGTCTGCCCTCCCCCTTCCTATATTGTGAGGAGTCCTGTACTTATTGTGAGCACAACAGCCGGCATTCAGGAGACTGCAAGATTGGGCAGGATGATAGGAGAAGGCAGTCCGCTCAATCGGAGGAACAACTGATCGGCAGGCCGCCTCCTCTGATCATCCTGCACAATCTGGTAGTCTCCTGAATGCCAACTACTGTGTGCATGCCCCTTTTTATGATGGAGTGTATATGTGCTGATGCCAGGTGATGGGCAGTACAGATGCCCACTTACGTTTTGGTGTTGTGACTACGTTTATCACACCCCTAAGCACATTTAGCCAATGTTTCAGAGCCCTGTTGTCATTCCTAGTTTACTAGTGCCCCAAGAATACATTTCTTACTGGTTTTGTGCTTTTTTATTAGTGCTTTCTGGTTCCCTTGAGTCGGCTCTGATATTCATTTTTGGTTATTTTCTGGTTCCCTTTGACTTAGGCCTGTTTGACTATTCTATTCTTATCGTTCTTTAACCCGGCCATTCTAAGGACCAGTTTAGGTATTTATTTTACCTATAGGAGGGTTATTATTCTGCGTGTTAGGTTACCCATTCGTGACATATATGTCATGGCAATGGAGCCTTTGGCAGCAAGGATCAGAGCCAATGACGCTATACATGTAATAAAACTGGGAGTCAGGGAATATAAGTCAAACCTCTTTGCAGGTGACATCCTGCTCACACTTACCAAACCGCAGGAGTCTCTGCCTAAGCTACTAGGGGAAATCCAGGAATATGGTCAACACGTATACTATAAATTAAATGTCACAAAAAACCAAGCAATGAGAATAGCCATTGAAAAAGTGCTGATGCAAATGCAGACGTCGTCCTTCTTCCTAGACTGGAGAAATGACTGTATGACTTTTTGGGGGTTTAAGATGCCAAGGAATTTGGGCAACATGTTCATACTAAACTATGGGAGAGTGTTAAGGGAAATATCCGACACTTTGAAATGATGGGAAGGCAATTACCTATTCTGGACAGGCCGAATAGCAGCCATCAAAATGACCCTGCTGCCCAAACTTCAATACTTGCTGAGAACACTGCAATTGCCCCTCCCCAAAAGATTCATAGAATCAACCCACAAACTATTTGTCCGCTTCGTATGGAGTAGAGAGAGAAGCCGTGTTGCAAGTAGAATACTTAGCAGATCAGTAGTGGAGGGCGGCTTGGCTCTGCCAGATATTAAAGCGTATTATTAGGCAGCCATACTCTATACGAAAGTGACTATACATCAATATCGATGGTACATGGTGCCGGACATCCAACCTCCTCTGGTACCTATTGGAAATGCAGAACAACAAGGGATACCATGTACCTTACCTGGTGGACGTGTCCGAGCTTATGGCCTTTTTGAGAGAGGGTGAGGACGATAATATCACAACTCATTATCAAGAATGTCTCCCTTTCCCCTGAGCTCTGCCTCCTATTCATTTCGCTCAACCAAATTATAAAGATAGACTCCACACTCATCTTTCATGTCCTGGTAGCAGCAAACACATTAATAGCTAGAGCTTGGAAATCCACAACCATTCCAACCAGGGAAGCTCTCCTAAGTCAAATCAGCACTAATCTTGACTATGAGTGCAGGACTCAAAAACACTCCTGTAGGGGCACTACACTCGGAAGGATCCAAGAGAAATGGGAAACATATATCCGGCGTGCTAAGGTAGGAGGAAAGGGGGAAAAAAAATATTTATACTACCATATGTTGGGGAAGTTTATACACAACACCTACACCACTCTGGATCGGTTGCTCACCAACTTTAACATTGAATAATCACAAAAACCCACTTGTGCATAGTGTATATAATTCTTTATATTGTTGGTTACTTTCACTAATGATACTTCATATCATCCAGGTTGCTGGGTTCAATTAACACTTACTGAAGGATGTGCTAGTCTCCAAACTAAATACAATACTGAGACATTGCTCATAAATCGGCACTACACCTTACAGCCGGACGACCATCAAACCGAACTTACAGAAAACAAGACAATAACCACACCATACTCGAGATAGACCTCCAGAGCCTTAACAGGCCCCACCTTACTGATCCCCTCACACATCCTTCCCTACTAATGCACCCCCTCACAACTTCAACCCAAACGTGTCAAACCCAACACGACAACACTAGCAGGACTTTGGAATAAACACATATAAGGAGTCGCATCTACACTCACTAGCCAAACCCTGCACTTTGATAAATAGAGGGCGGCAACATCTCCACCACATGGTTGCCAGCTGTTGTATGATCTCATGCCCCCCCCAACAAACAGGGTACCAAATTCCGAGAACATAGGTTGAACAAAATCTCTTTATAGAAATATATATCTACTACCATACATACAGTCAGGGAGCCGCGGGCGGCGACGAGGGGAGGCTGCACGCCACTTGCAGCACTCACCATCAGTCCATCGCCGCCCGCGGTCTCCTCTCTGCTTACCTGTCGGCGAGCGGCGTCTCCTCTGTGCTGCTCGCCGCCAGCGTCCTCTACGCCCCCCAGCGGCAGCATGTATAATGCTGCACGCTGGGAGGTCCAGGAGTTAAGTAAACGCCGGGGTCACGTGAGTGACCCGGCGTTAAAGAAACAGTACCACAATCACAGTGGGGGGTATAGATATCCCCCACGTGTGATTGTTAATTCTGATTGGAAGTTATCCAATCAGAATTAAACCTAGGGTATTTATACTTACCTTTCCTGTCCCTCAGTGCCTTGTTGTGGTCTTGTGATACCTGTAGCGTAGTGTTCTCGTCTTGCTCTCTGGTTACTGATTATTTGGCTCGTTATTCCGATTATCCTGTCTTCTCCACTCCTTTGACCTCGGCTTGTTTCTCGTTCTCCCGTTTTCTGGCTCCCTTTACCTGGCTTGTCTCCTGACTATTCTTAGCGTGCTTAGCCCGGCCACTCTAAGGTCCGGTACGGCACCTTTTCTGTGAGTGTGTGTGTGTCAGCGTGTTAGGTTCCCCGAATCGTGACATTACAACAGGGCCACCATGGAACCTGCTGACATTCCACAGCTGTTAGTTAATCAGGAGGCTAGAATGGACGGTTTAGACCACCGTATGGATCAGTTTGCCCAGGCTTTACAAACCATACTGGCTCGTACTGCCCACTTGCAACCTGCCGTCCAAGAAGCTGTTGCTGCTGTGCCAGAACCCATTCCTGATCCAGTACCCGCTCCTGCTCACGTGGTTCACATGACGCCACCTCAGCGCTATAGCGGTGATCCAGCATTGTGCCGTGGTTTCCTCAACCAAATTGATATTCATTTGGTGATGAATCCTCGTTCCTACCCCACTGACAGAACCAAAATTGCTTTTTGATTAACCATTTGTCCGGGAAAGCACTAGCATGGGCTAATCCCATGTGGGAGAATACGTCCCCAATGTCCTTTTCAGACTTCTTAACAGCTTTTAAACGTACGTTTGACCAACCCGGCCGGGTTGCTTCTGCTGGCAAAGCTCTGCTTAGGGTTCGACAGGGTAATAGATCAGTAGCGGATTATACCATTGAATTCCGTACTTTGGCAGCTGAAGTGGTCTGGAATAACGACGCTCTCGTAACAGCTTTTCAGGAGGGTTTGGCTGCTTACATATTAGATGAGATAGCATCCAGGGAAATGCCTGTTCTTCTGGATGATCTAATAGATTATGTCATTCTAATTGACAACCATATCAGAGAGAGGCGTAGTCAAAGGAGGATGAATACACAGGGGTTGCCTGCTTTACCCAGTACTGCATTGCTAGCATTACCTCCCCCTAATCAACCACCTCCCGAACCCATGCAATTAGGAGCTGTAGGCTTATCTGAAGCTGAAAGAACGTACCGCAGAAGGGAGGGTTTGTGCCTTTATTGTGGTAAGAGGGGGCATCTCCGAAGAAACTGTCCTAGTTTGCAGGGAAACTCCAGCACCTAAGACCTAGAGAGGGGTCGGCCTCGGGTGTTATGGTTTTTTCCCCTCATACGTCCATCTCTAGACCATTTATAACGGTTTCTCTTTTGGTCAATAAAACCACGATAACAACTAAAGCCTTGATCGATTCAGGTGCTGCAGACAGTTTTATGGATGAGAACTTTGCTAAAACCGCAGCCATGAATCTGATCCAAAAGGCCACACCCTTGGCCATTGAAGCCATAGATGGTAGACCACTTGAGAAACCTCTGGTGACCCATGAAACCCAAGAAATGGTTATGGTCGTGGGTGCCTTACACAAAGAAAGGATAGCCTTTCAAATAATTGACTCCCCTACAGCTTCCATCATTCTGGGTTTTCCCTGTTTAGTGAAGCATAACCCAGTACTCGATTGGGATTCTCTATCTCTAGATATACTATCCTTGGGGGTATCTTGTCAACAGGATTGTATGGCCCGTTTACATCCCGTTTGTTTAATTAATGTGCCTACAGCTAAACCACTTTCTGTTTCTGTCCCTCCTGTGTATGCAGACCTCGCATTGGTCTTTGAAAAGAGGGAAGCTGATAAACTACCCCCACACCGGGATTATGATTGTGCCATAAATTTGTTACCTGGAACGATGCCTCCTAGGGGTAAGGTCTACCCGCTTTCTGAGAAAGAAAACCAGGTCATGGAGGAGTACATACAGGAATCCTTACGTAAAGGTTTTATCAGAAGGTCCTCCTCTCCTGCTGGTGCTGGTTTCTTTTTTGTTGCCAAGAAGGAGGGCGATTTGAGACCATGTATAGATTATAGGGGTCTGAATAATATAACAATTAAAAATGCTTATCCTATCCCTCTCATTACTGAGTTGTTTGACCGTGTTAAAGGTTCTAGATATTTTACTAAACTAGACCTCAGGGGGGCTTACAACTTGGTTCGGATAAAAGAAAATGATGAATGGAAGACAGCGTTCAATACACGCAGTGGGCATTACGAGTATCTAGTCATGTGGAGTTATATTTACGTTGCTTCACGAATGCACACCAGGACAACTGGTCTCACCTCCTTCCTTGGGCTGAATTCGCCAGGAACACGATGACTCATTCATCCACTGGCTTAAGTCCTTTTATGGTTGCTTATGGGTTCCAACCCTCTGTCCTTCCCGGCGTATTCTCCGACAAGGGAATACCCGCTTTGGACGAGCACCTCACCTCCTTACGGAAGATGTGGGATCAGGTCCATGCTACTCTTTCTCGTGCGACTGCTACTCAGAAGAAATTTGCTGATTGTCGTAGGGGTGCTGCTCCCTCTTATGTCCCGGGTGATAGGGTTTGGTTGTCCTCTAAGAATCTCCGCCTCAGGGTCCCCTCTATGAAATTCGCGCCCAGGTTCCTTGGCCCCTATAAGGTATTGCGTAGTGTCAATCCTGTGTCCTACTCTCTAGCCTTGCCTCCTTCCATGCGTATACTTAACACTTTCCACACCTCCCTTTTGAAGCCCCTGCTCTGTAATCGATTCTCTGGTCCTCTTAGGCGTCCAGATTCCCTTCGCGCTATCTCTAATGACTTATACGAAGTAGCTGCTTTGCTTGATTCTAGTTTTTCTCGAGGTCGGTTGCAGTATCTGGTTGATTGGAAGGGTTACGGTCCTGAGGAGCGTTCCTGGGTTTCTGCCTCTGACTTGAATGCGCCCTCCTTGATCCGCTCCTTTCATGCGCGGTTCCCTTCGAAGCCTTCGGCTTCCCGCCTGTTGGGCGGGCCTCGAGGGGGGGGTTATGTCAGGGAGCCGCGGGCGGCGAAGAGGGGAGGCTGCACGCCACTTGCAGCACTCACCCTCAGTCCATCGCCGCCCGCGGTCTCCTCTCTGCTTACCTGTCGGCGAGCGGCGTCTCCTCTGTGCCGCTCGCCGCCAGCGTCCTCTACGCCCCCCAGCGGCAGCATGTCTAACGCTGCACGCTGGGAGGTCCAGGAGTTAAGTAAACGCCGGGGTCACGTGAGTGACCCGGCGTTAAAGAAACAGTACCACAATCACAGTGGGGGGTATAGATATCCCCCACATGTGATTGTTAATTCTGATTGGAAGTTATCCAATCAGAATTAAACCTAGGGTATTTATACTTACCTTTCCTGTCCCTCAGTGCCCTGTTGTGGTCTTGTGATACCTGTAGCGTAGTGTTCTCGTCTTGCTCTCTGGTTACTGATTATTTGGCTCGTTATTCCGATTATCCTGTCTTCTCCACTCCTTTGACCTCGGCTTGTTTCTCGTTCTCCCGTTTTCTGGCTCCCTTTACCTGGCTTGTCTCCTGACTATTCTTAGCGTGCTTAGCCCGGCCACTCTAAGGTCCGGTACGGCACCTTTTCTGTGAGTGTGTGTGTGTCAGCGTGTTAGGTTCCCCGAATCATGACACATACAATGTGTTGCCTGTCCACTTTTTGTTTGTCTACAATCTGTTTGAATAAACATGTAAATCTATCATACAATGCATTCCTGCCATGTGATACAAGCTGCAACTCCCAATATGGATCAATATGTTGTACATGTGTTTACTATGTACTACTTTCTTTTCTTTTCAAAAACAGAAAAATAAAAAATTGGTGAATTAAAAAAAATAATAATTTTAGACATTTTAGAATGATCTTTCACCATAGAGATGCATTGATTTAATGCATCTCTATTAGTAGATGCTGATTGGCCAGCCTAGTTTATGTCTCCGCCCCCTGCCCTGTCCATTAGAAAGTATTGGATTGGCTGAGATCATGCTTTCTGATGATCTCAGCAAAAGAGGAAAATCAGGTATGGAGCCAGTGCCAGCAGACTTATGCGCGCCAGAATAAAGGTGAGGTTTTATCCTATTTAAGGGGGGCAAAGGGCAGCAGGCCACCTAAATAGTGTTTTTAACTTTATAGGGTCAGAAATACATGTTTTGTGTTCCTGACCCTATAGTCAGGAATATAGCCCCCTACACAAACACTACACTCCTATACACACGCTATATGTGACCATGGAGGGCGCTGTGAAGATTTTCAGCACAGGGCACTTTAAGGTCCAAGGTCAGCACTGGTCATCATTTTTATTTTATATGCACTTTAAGAGTTTTATTATTTATGATGTTTTTGGCTTCTTTCCTCTCCGTAGATTGTAGACATCTCATTTTTTTTATCTCTGTAAGGGTTGGCTAAAGGATCCTTAGCAAAATTAGAGGCAGCAAACTAACAAAGGCAAAGACAAAAAGGATATGAATAGGCCAATTACTGGACCTTAGAGTAGCTAGGCTAACATAAAGGTAAAATTAGGAAGGAACAGAGCTACAGGCCAGGAGAATAACAAAATATAAAATACACAATACCAGACACAGGCAAGGGTCAGGAGCATAAGTCAGAGACTGGTACACAGAATAGGACGTCAGACAAGCCAGGGACTGGTACACATGTCAGGTAGTCAAACAAGCAATGGACTTGAACACAAAATCAGACAGAAGACAAACAGGTCAGGTCAGGTACACAAGAGCAGGAGAGCAGAACATAGTCAGGTATAAGAGAGAATTAAGATCAGGGCAAAATATCACAAAGAATACTGGAACCAGAAATGGGCCCAGGGCATCCAGATAGCCCTCCATCAATAAGGAGTCCCTGTACCTGATTGGCTCATTGTTGCTGGCAACAATCAGATCAGAAAGGTAGCACCTGTGTTACCCACAGGTGACCTACAAAAAACATCCAGAATATATCAGGTGGGTCAGAGTCAAACAGACAACTATCTGGAATAAACCCTGGAAAATCAATTTCACAGTAGCAAGCAGTGTGCAGTGGGAAACAGAGGTCCAACTCCCACCAGAGCCAGTCAAAGAGCATTTCCAGACAATCTACAGGATCGTCTGACAGCTGTTTGTGAAATATGTCCATGACTCTGTATCAAGAAATATTGCAGGAGCTCAGCAAAATTGAGTAGAAGCCATTAGTATGCATACACTAATATACCTGACGTAAGGAACAAAAAAAAAATATAGTATTGTTTCATAAATCATATTTCACCATTTTTTACAAAGTAAGATGAGTTTAAAAGGCAGCTGTCACTTCTATGCTATTTATTTTAATATAATGATCTTTTCAACAAGTTTTGAAAGGATAAAGATTCTGTGTTAAATGAAGTAGATGTAAAAAAAATCTAATTCCTACCTTTAGTATATAACAGGATCCTTCAGCTATATACCAACACCTTGGGTCGGACGGTGTTTAAAAAAAACCTCTATATAGTCTCTACGGTCTTCTCTGCTTTATTCCATGCACAGAGCAGTAACATCATCAGATAGACAAACTATCCAATCAAAACACTGTCTAACCAAAGTTGCATGTATATGGCTGAAGGATCCTGTCATACACTAAAAGTAGGGATGAGCACAATCTATTTCCTTTCAAAACAATGAAAGGATCATTATATTAAAAAATAATGTTGATGTGATAGTTCTCCTTTAAGTTTGGATAATTCCAAATTATGTAATTAATCCATATTGCATGTTACCTACTGCTGGATACATCAATTGTACAGGAAGTAAACATGGGGCAGATATTAGATAACTGTTTTATATGGTCCTTTTATAGGACTAAAGGCAATCTATGCAATGAAAATTTAATTTCACATATTCCATTGTGACTGCATATATCGGGTTGATAAGATACCCATGCATTCAAGATGTTCAAAAGTAATTTCATAAACGCCAGGATAAAAATCAAATACTAGACCAATCACTAGATCACAATATCATTGAATCTATAAGGGTAGTTCCAAGGGGCAGATTGACAAGAAGATATTTAATGCACCCTCCCCCCTCCCCCCCAGTGATGCCGGAGTAGTAATATGACGTCACTCCAGCTGAGGCATCAATCAGAGGTGCGTGAGGGAGCTGAGCAGGAGGATCAGAGCTCCCTCGCAACCTGCCTCCACTCTGCGCCTGCTTGCCCAACCGCCTGCCAAGCTGCAGCCAGCCCCACTGGACCACAGGGAAAAATCCACCAAAACGCAAGCAAAAAAATAATAATTGTGATTTTGTTAGTGTGTGTTTGTTAGTGAGTGTGTTAGTGAGTGTGTCTGTTAGTGAGAGTGTGTGTCTCTGTTAGTGAGAGTGTATGTGTCTGTTAGTGAAAGTGTGTGTATGTGCAGGGGCGTTTTAGCCGCGAGGCAAACAAGGCATTTGCCTTTGGCGGCATTTTCCAGGGGGCGGCAAAAAACGCCGCTCCCCAAATGCCCAGGGCAAATGCCTAGTTAGCCTCGCGGCTAACAGACATGCCGGGCGCTGGGCGGCGCTGTGCGGACGGCTGGTGAGGGAGCTCTTCCTCTGAGCTGTGTGCTCAGCTCCCTCGCGCGCCGCAGAGTGAGGCTGGGAGCCGGAATATGACGTCATCAACCCGGCTCCCAGCCTCACTCTGCGGCGCACGAGGGAGCTGAGCACACAGCTCAGAGGAAGTGCTCCCTTGCCAGCCGCCCGCCCGACCATCAGCCACTGGACCACCAGGGAGAGAGGGACCCCCCCGCATTCCCAAAGGTAAGGAGGTTGGGGGGTTGTAAATAAAAAATAAAAAAATGTGTTAATGTGAGTGACTGTGTGTATATGTCTGTGAGTGTGTCTGTTAATATGTGTGTGTGTTTGTTAGTGTGTGTGTGTGTTAGTGTGTGTCTGACTGTGTGTGTCTGCTAATTAGTGAGTGTGTGTCTGTTAGTGTGTGTCTGACTGTGTGTCTGTTAGTGTGTATGTGTGTGTCTGGCTGTGTGTCAGTGAGTGTGTGTGTCTGCTAGTGAGTGTGTGTGTGTGTGTGTGTTAGTGTGTGTGTCTGACTGTGAGTGTGTGTGTTTGTTAGTGTGAGTGTGTTTGCCTGTGAGTGTGTGTCTGTTAGTGTGTGTGTGTGTTTCTGTTAGCGAGTGTATGCGTATCTGTCAGTGAATGTGTGTGTGTATTTAGAAGGCTTGGGGGGGGGACTGGCATGGGGGGGAGGGGGCGCCTGAGTTTTGTCCTGCCTAGGGAAGCACAAAACCAGGATACACCACTGTGTGTGTGTGTGCAGTGGTGTATCGTGGTTTTGTGCTGGCCTAGGCCCCCCAGGAAGTGCTTTGCTGCAGTAGTGAGAAGGTACAGGGGGAGAGGGGGAGAGAGAGACACATAGAGGAGCTGGGGGGCAATGAGACACATGCAATTTTCCTACCAGGGTTCAATGTTTTGTGTTTTTTTGTTCACTCCCAGCAGAATAAATAATTTAAGCTCTGTTTATACACAGTTATAGAAGTAGCTCAGAAGTGATATATGAAATCATGTTAACTACACATTAAATATACTTAACTTTTATTTTGCTTTAATTACCTGGAATGCCAGGTGGCCCAGGTAATCCAGGTGGCCCTGGAACTGAGTGAGGTGTTCGGTATCCAAAATCTCCTCTGCAGCATGTATTGCAATCCGGTTGTTGTGGTGTCTAAAAGGCACAAAGATGCATTGTGTTATCTGTTTTGATGACATTTAATGTTTAAGACAAGATAATAAACGGTGATGGGATTGGTGGAAAGTAAACTCCTGTTTTCTGCTTGCAGGAATGTTTGCATCTACTCTAGATAGCTTAACAATTTGTGTAAAATCACTGCATCAAATGGAAGGTCCATCCAATGAACCTTTGTCAACATGGAATATTGGTAATTTGTCACTTGTAGGAAATATTAATACAAATATATATTTGACGAAATTATTGTGTTGATGAAAAAATGACAAAAGGAGGACTTTAACTCACTGCATAACACACCTCAGAAATCGAGCAAGGATACTGACATTCCTCGCCAGATCTGATTGGTGGGACTGCCTGATAACCACCTGGTTATCTATACTGGTAAGTATTATATTAATGGCTAAAAACAGATTTGGGTTAGGTCTTTATTCAGAGCAATGTAATTTTAAATCTAAATGCAAGTGTGTAGCACACTCTTTAATCCTAACCATTACCATAAGCTTAACTCACTTATTTTGCAAGACCTTGCCTAAGAGATGGCTGATAGAACATGTATCCATTCTCTACGTACAACCAACCAGAGAATGACACAGGCTTGCACAAAAGCCCTGTGATGCTTATATATTCATCAAGAGCTTGAACTGGAGCCATGGTAAGTATGACCATGACCAAGATCCTACTCATGTGGTACCAGAGTACAGTGACAAGAATGCTAAAAGAAACACTTTAAGCATAAACATTACAACGTGCTGTAGTGGTTATGGTGCCAGGGGTGCCGTGGCAACCCCACACTGCTAGAATTCAAAGTATTTTGGAAGGTTTGACTGCATTCTATGGGTTTACATTGCACCTTGCATCCACTACTTCAGATAGAGAGATGGAAATTCCTAAGAAAAAGCTTTTGCTAACTCTCCTGAGCTAAGCTCGGTGCAGGGCTAGCTCATCTGCTGTTAACATTAACGCATTACTGTCAGCTAATAAGTTAAGCACTGCATCACTGGGCTTAGCTCAGACAGGCAGCCAGAAGCTCTCCATCTGAAGTAGTGGAGATGAGGAGTCTAGCCTGGTGGACTAATGTAAGAAGTCATGCCGTAGAGGTTATGGTGCTTGGAGTGTTTATTTAATCAAAACCATATTTCAGGGTGTGTTGTCCAGTATGCTGCAGATTAGAAAGCAGTCTTGTAAAAATGCAGTGTTGGAGTGTTTATTTAATCAAAACCATATTTCAGGGTGTGTTGTCCAGTATGCTGCAGATTAGAAAGCAGTCTTGTAAAAATGCACAAACCCGAAGAGCTTAGGATAGGAGTGCCCAAAAGGTTAGATCCTCAGATGGTTTAACCCAATCATAACTTCCATGATGTTCTGCCAGTCTAAAGACTATGCAATCATTATGGAGTTATAGTTCTACAGAATTCTACAACAGCTTTACCTATTATTAAAATCATTAGATTGCAGAGAAGCAGGCATTAGCAACAGTGTTAATTAAAGAAAAACTGAAATTACTTTTCTTTTTGTTTGTTTATCCGGATTACTTTTCAGTCTTAAGGCTTTGCCTGTGAAATTTAAATTTGCTCTAAATTATTAAATTATTATTAATAATGGATGAAAAATAAATTACTGTTAAATATTAATAATATGTATTCTTTATTGTTTAGATGCAGCTGATATGTAATGCAAGTATTTAATTCCTAGAAGTAGATTTTCAGTCTTATTTTTTTAATTATTGTTGAACCATATCAACAGCAAGATTATCTTTGAATTTATAGCAATCACTGCTATTTAACAATGGCTCTAGAAATTTACAATCCTACGTGTGCCAAAAAGTTATTTTATGATGTCACATACATTAACCTTCAATTTTGTTTTCACATTAACATTAAAACACACTCTGCAGGGCAAATCATTTGTTAACAGAGTTTTCTATTACCCAGCATTCCTATTTAACAGTTTCATGTACCACTAAGCCAATTAAGCCATATATTTATATATGTATAGTCAAGTACTGATTACTTTTTTCAATATTAAAAAATAAGCAAGCCAACAAATTTTGTTGAATTAATTGTTGTGAGTGAATTTAGAACTGAATTTCACAATGTAGGTTCAAATATCAGAATTGAAAACATTTGTAATTGGTTTCAATTCATTGTTTGGTGAAGATGACCCATAAACAATGTGCCTAATGTTGCCTTAAAACTAACAGACTTTTTGAAAAGCTATAGTTGATCTTCTATAGAAATACAAATGATACCCTTTTACTTATTAATTGGAATCATCTATGTCTCATCATGTATACAATAAACAAATGCATAAATACAATTTTAAGTATTAATAAAGTAATTCACATTTATGCAACATTTTTATCAAATCAGGACCATTTTCTGCTCCACAACACTAGAACGTCTCTGCTACAAAATAACCATGACATATTCTGAGAATAAGAATTCAGAGTACCTGGACTCTGTGTGATGTTTGTTCTACATCATCTACCTCTGGTTTCATCAACAAGTTTGTAGAAGCATTAATGGTTAGAGCCTCTATAAGATGAATCCGTTTTTCTACTACTGCCCTCTCGGGGACATTATTGCTCGTCCGTTGGTGACGACTTTCAACTACTTTGGCCACTGGCTTATTAGATCTTCTCCTCACCTCCATGTGTTCATCTTGACAAAGGCAAAATGGAACTGCAACAACAGGCAGCAGCCAGAAGAATGTAAACCATTTTGGAGCCATTGGGTCTTCAAGTTAAATAGAATCCACACTCAGAGATGTAGCTAGCTGTTTCAAAGGCAAAAGTTCCTTCATGAGGTTTTTATACCACTGGATGCAGCTGTGAGAATGAAAAAAACTTAAATGCATAATCAGCCATGTCTCAAGGAAACTATTAGTCATACCTTTTGCCAGTCAAATTGATTTCTATGCTTCTGTGTGTCGTGCATTATCTGTAGTACTGTCATGGTTTTAATTCAAAGCAAGTGTGACACCTTTCTTTGGCATAGTACTGTCAGAATACAAATAAAATAAAATAAAGAGAGTTGGGAATTTGTAAGCATGAGTTTAGTGGATTTATAGCCTTCATTAGACATGGAAAATCTATGGATTGAAAGTGTGCAGCTTTGGAACCAGGCTGCCTGTGTTCTTGCCAAAATTTTCATACACGTACATCACTCCGTGAATGCATTCCAAAAATAATCAACTTTCTAAGGCACTGGAATGTTTTTGGAAGTTTACATTTTTCAAGCTACAGCAAGTTAACAAAGTGAGGTTTGGTCATTGAAATAATTGTTTTATTTTCTCCGTTATTTAATGCAAAAATCGCATTCAAATAGACCTTCTAAAAATGTGTTAGATGAAAACACAGATTGTCTGTTCTAACTCTAAAAGGGATGTTTACTAAAGTGGGAATTCATTTACTTAAACTACTTTGGTCTAAAATGTTAAATCCCAAAAAATGTATCAATTAATACCGCACTCACATACATAACAATATGCATAAAAAAGAGAATTACTGTATAAACATGGGGAAAAAATAATTTATTGTACACTAAATATACCAAATTCATGAAGGTAGAAAAAAAAAATCACTACAACCAAATAATTCAATTGATGATCTCTCTATGAATTCATCTATAAAACATGTGACAAAATTTCATAATATATACATCCCAGACTATTTACAACTATATACAGTCCGTGAACACCATATGCATGAAGTTGGAAGTTCATAAATATTCAGGTGAATCCACCACTTAATTATTTTTGTATATATAACTGAGGTTCTTGTGGGGAATACCTGCACCATCAAGTAATTGAGTACTAAAACAATTAATATTTTTCTGTATAAAATGTTAAATCCACTATGAATTTACATTAAATTCTTACTTCAATGAATACTTATTCAAACTGTTCTATTCTTTGTCTTAACCTACTTTCAGGACAAAGTAATTTAGAATGGGTGATTAATGGTTAATTGGTTAAATGGACAAAAAGTCCATGAAAGCCATGCCTGTGTTATAAATCATACACATTGAAGAAAAATATCACCATTCACTCATTGCAATCTTAGTAAAGAAAACGAATCTGATACAGTGCAAAAGTTAATTTATTCACATGTTAAGACATGGATTGATCATGCGAAAGATCAAAAAGTAGTTTCATCTTGCATGTTTCATCCACTGTGTAGACTTAAAGCCCACTGTAAAGGTTATGGTCCCAGGAGTTTCCTGACACTCTCCGAGTGTAAGAAGTCAAACTTTTTAAGAAATGTTTGACAACTTACCTGGGGTCCATTGGGTGCCTGTTGCTGCCTCCCCTTGAGGAGCTTCCATAAGCTCCACTGAGCTATACGTTTCAATGCAGGATGGGATTATTACCTGATTATTTGTATGAATTTACATTGGGACAAAGCTAAGGCACCCCTGGCACCATAACCACTACAGCAGGCTGTGGTTTAATGGTGCTTATAGTATTCCTTTACTATAGACCCATATGTTTTTTTCTCTAATACCTGTACATCATACCAGCTGTTTATGCCAATATATCTGACTGGAGGTTGGTTGTAAGGCCAAGGCAATATTGGCACATTTTTACATATGTGCTTAAAGATTTGTGAGTGTATTACTTTTACATGTTCTTAACATAAAAAAAAATAAATAAAAAAAAAATAAAGAAATCTGACAGCAGATAAGAACCATTCGGCCCATCTAGTCTGCCCAATTTTCTAAATACTTTCATTAGTCCCTAGCCTTATCTTATAGTTAGGATAGCCTTATGCCTATCCCACGCATGCTTAAACTCCTTTACTGTGTTAACCTCTACCACTTCAGCTGGAAGGCTATTCCATGCATCCACTACCCTCTCAGTAAAGTAATACTTTGTCCTCTTGTGGTAGTTTCTCTTCTTTTAAATATCGTCTCCTCCTTTACTGTGTTGATTCCCTTTATGTATTTAAATGTTTCTATCATATCCCCCCTGTCTCGTCTTTCCTCCAAACTATACATGTTAAAGGAACACTATAGTCACCTAAATTACTTTAGCTAAATAAAGCAGTTTTAGAGTGTAGATCATTCCCCTGCAATTTCATTGCTCAATTCACTGTCATTTACGGACCCGGAACCAGGAAGTGATTTGGAGACAGTCGGCAACAGCAACCAGGACAGCAGCCGGAAGATTTTTTTACATTACATAAGTATATGGAACTTTCTTTGCGGTTTCCTGAGGCTGGTGAGCGGACTAACTAACTCCACAACAAGTTTTGCTGTTTTTTAATTGTTATTAATAAAGTATACTTACCTGAGATCCGGATTGCAAGCTTCCTTTCCACGGATCCCATGCACTCTAGGGGCTGATCCTCCCTGAGTGCTATAGCAACGAGTGGTGCTTTTACCACTCCAATCTTGTGAGTGTAACACCTAAAGGGCACCTCTGTTTGCTTTATTTTATTTATAAGCGAATTACTACGCTGCACTAGGAGCTCTCTTTCTGTTTTTGTCTCCTTAATAGGTGTCAGAGTGATTTCCATGTTTGCAAGTATACCTACAGATTGTGTTTTGTTTTACCATAACCACTGTTTGGTTTTAAAGTATTTATAATATTTCCACTCTGTAAACACCTCATTTTATGTAACACAGGGTTACTTTCACTCTCTATAAGAGGTCCATAGTGAATACGATTTTTATTTCTCTGTTGTTGCGCACCATCACTACTGTAAGTTATTTTATGTTCAAATCGTTTTACCAGGATTTGTTTTTGTTGGTTGCTGCATGTACTAAGATCCTTCTCTCACTTGCGCCATCCTATTTATAATCGTTTTTTCTCTTGCAGGGTCAAGCAAGCTATTAACATAGCAGGGGATAAGAAAATCATAATTAAACAGAACTTGCAATAAAGAAAGCCTAAATAGGGCTCTCGTTACAGGATGTGTTTATGGAAGGCTGTGCAAGCAGGGCCGGATTAACATAGGGGCTGATGGAGCTGCAGCTCCAGGCCCAGGCCCATTGAATAGGCCCATTGATTTAAAAAAAATATATATATTTTTTTACAAATTACTCTTAGGGTTGCCATCTGGCTGGTATTTTATGCTATTTGAGGCTGCCTGGCCAGTGCCAGTATTGCAGTAAAACCGGCAATACAAATTCCGGCATATTTCTATTTATAAACAGAGATTACTGTGCAATACTTGCCCTGGCCACTGTGTGTGGAGAGAGGCAGGGATAGAAAGTTACAGCATATCCCTGCCTCTCTCTACTTACGGATCTGTGGGGGAGCAGCTACACAGCACAGAGAGTCTAGACAGCAGCTCCCAGCCTGCAGATACTGCCTACAGCTCATGGATAAGTGAGGGATGGGGTAAAAGCTGCAGGGAGACATGGGGACACTAGGGTACACTTGGGTGACCTGGGAACACTGAGACACTTGGGGACACTGAGAGACCTGGGGACACTGGAAGATCAGGGGACAATGAAACACTAGGGGACGCTGTGAGACACTAGCCACTTAGGGACACTGGGAGACATGGGACACTGAGATACTGTGTCCGTAGCGTCTGTTTCCCCACTTCTCTGTGTCTCCTAGTTAGTGTCCCTAGTGTCTCAGTGTCTCCCAGTGTCCCCTAGTGTCCCAATGTCTCACAGTGTTCCCATGTCTCTTAAGTGTCCCCTAGTGTCCAAGTGACACTGGGCAACATGGGGACACGAGGGGACATTGGGAGAAATGGGGCACTGAGACATTGTGATACATAGGGACACTGTGATGCATAGAAGACACTGAGACATGGGGACATGAGGGGACACTGGGACACATGGGGCACTGAAACACTGTGATACATAGGGGACACAGACACTAGAGGATACTGAGAGACATGAGGACACTGGAAGACAAGGAGACTAGGAGACACTAAAACACTGGGAGACAGTTAGACACTGTGAACAATCCATTTTTTATTCAGAAGAATAAATGTAAGCAGTTTTTTTGGTGATTTTACAGAATTATCTCTCAGGTCACTCCTTGTGATTTACAAGCATATATAATTCATTATGCAAATTAGTAAGGCCGGTATTTTTTCCAAGAAAGGTGGCAACACTAACTATCCTTCACATACTCTTGCTTAAGTATGGAAACTTTAGAGGGATGTATGCGAACAAAACTTGTGTGGACTGGCTGACAATGAAATGAGTTAAGGTAAAGGTGACTTTGTGCACAATGCAAATGATCTTGCTGCTTCAGTCTCTCTAACACTGTGGCATGTTCCCTGTCTTCTACACTCACTACATACATCTTTTCTCTGCCCCAGATTGTATACCAGGAGCTTTTGCCTGCTTGTAAGGAGGTTAGGAGAGGAATGGACCAGCGAGTGCTAGGGGACAGTCCTTAGAAAGCATGGAGCGAACTCATCATTAGAAGGATTTATGCCAAGCTCATTGTGCTGTCTGCATAGTATGCCCTTAGTTGGCCAGCTTGCGTGATTGGCAGGCAGCCTGACATGTATTCATGCCAGGCTGGCCTTCCAATTCTTTAGGCAGACACACCCCCTTTTAAAGGCATGTTCGCCTCTTTCGGCAGTTCTGATTACATGATTTGCGTCAGTGGCCCACCCTTTTACCCCGCCCCTTGACTGGTTGCTTCACTGGACACTGCTGTGAGGGGGTATGGATTTACTTGAAAGATGAAAGCATAAATTAGAGAGAGATTAGCATAGAGTGTTTGTTTTCTCATAGCTGCATCCTATGAGCTTCTCTTCAGCAACACTTCTGCCAGATACATGACTATTAGTAGGTATGACTGTTTTAGTGTTTTTTTGTCGATAAGATTCTGTAATTAGGCCCATCGTAATTGGCAGCACCAGGCCAACTGGGCTCTTAATCTGGCCCTGTGTGCAAGTCACATGCAGGGAGGTGTGACTAGGGTTCATAAACAAAGGGATTTGTAG